CGCAAGCGGCTTTAGTGAAACTGACTCCCAGAATTCCATACGTGCAGCTGACAGGATCTACGAGCATGGAGAGGTGGAAAATAGAGTTTGAGTGGATTGTATGTTCCTCTTTCCCATAAGCTGGTATTGTCCCTCTGCAGTGTCCTATTTGGTAACCAATGGTGTAAAGGAAATTGACTTTTTGTATCAGTCAGGGTGATTATTCAGACACTATTTAGTCAATTTTCTGTTGTTTCCAAAATGTATCAAAGTTGCCAATGGATAATACTCATTACAATGTAACTCCACAATCACTTAAACCCTTTTTGCTGGGAAATTTTGCACGTGATGTAAAACCATTACTTGTCATTTTCAAGAAAATGTATACACTGCACTGCCCAAAAAATAAGTAGTTGTTTGGATTGAATTAGGTAAATACTTAAGAGTCTATGATTGGATCATTATTGCAGTGATTATTATGGTTCTAGCATCTTATATGTTTGGCAACAGTTCTTTTAACCCTACTTGATGGAGTGTATAGCTTTTCATTTCTTAAACAACCATGTAAGAAGACACATCATGGCTATATTCCAGGATGACGGTGTCAAGATTTATCAGGCTCAAATTGTGAAGGAATGTTTGGGAGGGAGCATGAAGAATCATTTTCATACATGAATCACAAGATCTTGACCAAAAGTTGATGCATCTCTTGATGGAAATAACATTACAACATTTATTTCCATCAAAAGGTGCGTCAATTTTTGGCTAAGATCTTGTATTTAAAATGGAAAAGTCCAGCAATCTGGAAGGCCTACTCCTGCACATCAAGACTTTCAATGAATCTATGGTCTGGACTCTGAGGTGCCAATTCATCTGTGAAAATGATTCTTCATGCTCCCTCCCAACCATTCTTTTACATTCTTTATTTAACATGCTAAAAACATAATAATTACTGCAATAATGATCCAATCATAGACTCTTAAAAGCATTTACCTATTTAAATCCAAGCAGTGACTTTTTCTTGCCGGGCAGATATGAATGTTTATACATCCGTTTAATATTGCTATGGTTTGTGTGTATTTCAAACACTGCAGTGATGTCCATATAATAATGGCCATAACCCACAATAGTCTAGAAATATCAACATTTATTACTTTTGTAACCAGCTGTGTTATTTGTAGGTGTTTGAAAGTTCACTTTGTGTTCTGCAACCCAATGGTCTCTGTTTGAAGGGGACATTTCTTGTATTGCACCACTGGACTTTACAACAGGTGTTGCTAATCTCAGCTTTAGCCGAACATCCTGAAACGTGTGTGTATGTGTCTCTGTGTGACTGGTCAGCTGAGAAAATGTGTTGGGATCTCCAGTACTATGTACTGGAGGGATTGGTGGCTTCGCAGAGGGGAATCTCCCTGTTTGGCTTTAACACTCCCTCCTTCAGGACTGGGCTTTCCCCCCCGCGAGTCAGTGATTGCCATCCAGGCTCTCACTCCTTACAACTTCTTGCATATCTTGGCACACATACTCACTCACTTGGACCGGGTTCCTCCAGACCAGAGGCAGAAGCTGGGCACTAGCGGTATGGCGACCACTAAGCCCTGGACACTTGTTTTTGGTGAGGCGGTGATCCGCCTGCTTCAATGTAGGCTAAAGGCTCTACGGAGGCTGTTTCAGAGACAGCCTGAAAGATTCCCTTGCAGAGCGGTGAGTACTACTACTGTACTGTGGACAGTGATCGGGTTTCTGTTTTGTCCCAAAGCTGACGTGTACCTCCAGGAGGCAGACACTCAAAACAAACTTTATCATGATGTATTCAATTATATAGTGTTTTTTTATATATATATATATATATATATATATTATGTTTTAATCTGAGTTAGAGGGTGTTTTTCCTCTTAAATACAATTTGTAGGCATTTTGTAAAATTAAAAATTTCAAAATATATATTTAAAAAAACAAGGAACTTGCGCAAACTATTAATACTTGCAAATGAGTATCAAAATTGTATTAGAAACCAATTGATTGCCAAAATATATATTTAAAATTTAAAAAAAAGATTAAATATAAATGATTGAATTATATACCCATACCTTTTTATGTACCATATTTCTGGACTGCAATGTTTTTAATATAAATAGATAACGGTTCTATTCAGAGATGTGTTTAACTGATGTATTTTAAAAAAGTATCACCTAAATATATTTTCGAATTTCTATTTTATATTAACCTGAAGTGTTTTTTGTTAATTGGATGAATTATTTTGTTTATTCTGTTGCTGACATGGCGTAAAGAAATAAGGAAATACATCTGTGTGAAGAAACCAAGTGAGAAACCAAAATGTGGTCTGTTTTGTGCGGCTTGTTAACAGTCTGTTATGTTATTATAGTCTCTTATTTTTCAACTACATTTTAGTCTCGTCTTTTTTCGTCAATGATATTTCATTTTGATACAATCCCAGTTATCGTTTAATGACGTTAGTGTCGCCTCATCATCGTCTCATCTTGGTCATAGAAAAAAAGCTTGTCAAAATTGTGAACATTTTTCGTAAACGAAATTAACACTAATGCACATCCTGTATTGTCACCATTTGAATCACAGTCTATAAATTATCACCACAAGCACACAACACTTCCACCACAATCCACACACTGGACAGCTCTGGACAAATGCACTAAAGCATGCCTCATGCCTTTAACACTTTTTTGTATATTTTTTACCTTTGTTGTACACATGGCTCTGATTGTATTTCTGTCAACTTTCATTTGGACTCTAAGCGTTAGCGACTCATTCTCATTCTGAAGTATCAGTTTCCATTCTTGGCGACATTGTGATGAGGTGTGAATTATGCTCAGCGAGAGTGGAGGAGAGAGGCGGGGAGGTGCTGCTGGTTGGATGCTTGTATGTGCTTAACATGGTGCAGGTGATCCTCCCTCCCTCCCTTTGCTTTTCCTTTCCTCCATCGATTGGTCAGATGATTTTCTCTGTCATATATCAGAAAAAAACGGAGCTTGCATTGATGCTTTGTAGACTTCTGGATGCTTCCAAGGAAGATTACAAGTTCCTTCCCACCCTTTCCCATGCTTTTCAGCAAAACTCTTGCCAAGGCATCAGAAGTGGAGTACAGCTGGTTAAATTAATCTAAACAGACCTTGTTTCAGGAGAACGCATAGTTTAAATGCTCAAGACAAACTCTGCTGACTGGACTAGACTAAGACGGCTACACCATTATACTATTGACTTGCCCACGGGACTTAAGGGAGTGACGGAAAGGTTAGGAAGGCTGTCAGGGCTGGACGGAGATCCGGCACCTCATGGCAGGATGCTGGCTGCTCTGAGGGATCCCAGGCTGACACGATGCCAGAGTGATTTGGGCTGGAACAGGATGGAGGATTCGCTGGCCTCACTTCCACATCGCTCTCCGTGGGACTCTGAGGTATTTATGGTTCCGTGCGCTTTAGCGATAACACTGGAGATGGGAGGAAGAGGGAATTTGGGGATCTTCGTGGAAGTGGACTTACACAACTCATGTGAGCTTTACACAAGGGATTGTTGAAAATTTAGGGTGTGTTAGGAATGGAATACAAACATGCTGCATTCTTTTTCAGCCTTCTTTTCAAAATCATATTGAGAAGAGAATGCAGTAATATGCAACAATAAATGTTAATTTTGGACACATTCTGTTTGAAAATGTCCTGACTTTTGGAAGTTCAATCAAATTACTCATTATGTAGATCACCTCGCTTCATCTCCATTCATATTTCAAGTGTCCATTGAATGTGTCTGCAGAAGTAGTAGGTAATCTGGGGACTTTTCGCCTACTTTTTTTTCGAATACTATGTATTCTGACATGGTACTCTTTTGGTATACTATTTTTCGCATACTATATAGTTTGAAGTAATCGATATTGGGCGCAGTTTTAGTAATTTGGTTACGTGTTATGTTTCACTTTTTGTATTTCAGTTTTAGTAATTAAACTTCAACCTATTTCAGTTAGTTGGCAAGGCAACATTTCTAATTCTTTGTTGTTTAAGTTAAGTTTAGGTTATTCAATCTAATATTTATTTATTATTTTAAATTTTATTTCTGCTATGTTTTATATACCAAAAAAAAAACATTTTTAGTTAAAGCTGCAGTAGGTAACTTTTGTAAACAAATATGTTTTACATATTTGTTAACTGTCATTATGTCCTGACAGTAGACTATGAGACTCCCCTGGCTCCTCCCACTGGTCCTATTGCCATTTGTTGAAATACACCGCTCCCGGTCAGAAACAACCAATCAGAGCCAGGAGGAGTGTTTTAGCAGTGTCAATCACGCTTGTGTACGCGCTGATCACACCCCTCTCTTGCACAGCGCGCCGTCATTCAAACCCCTGATTTCACGTTGTGATTTTATGGTCTGTTTTGTGTGTTGTCCGTGAGGGGCTGCTGGCTTATACTTTCATTTTGTATTTGTTTATTTATTACTAAACTTGTTGAACGTTCGCCGGTTCCCGCCTTCTCCTTCACATAACAACTGAACCCCTGTGACAAATACACTAGCTAACTTTATCTAGCATTAGGCCTACATATCGCTAGAATAATTACTTGAATTATATTACATAAGTTACATTACTTACCATTATATTATCTTACTAGCTATTTCTAACTTATAGAAAGGGTGCAACGTTATAAACAAAATACGTAATAATTGGAGGACCAAGTTTGTAGTCAAAGTATGGGCAGGCCTTAGTCAATGTAAAGCATATTGTTGATGTTTCGGGCCCACTGTAAAAAAATATTTTCAAGATTTGTTATCACAACATTTTTTTCTTTTGTCAAATCAACTTAATTTATTTAGTTCAGATAACTTATTATTTTGAGTTTCTGATGATTAAATCAATCTCCTTCATTGCATTAACTCACTTTTTCCTGTTCAATCAACATAAAATTTTAAGGCAACCAGGTTACTTAATTTTTTAAGTTAAACCAATACGCTCCGCTGTGGAGGGACGGCTGTAGCGCAGTATAGAGCAAGGGGGCGGGACCTGTAAGTTGTGCTTGTTAAAATTTTCAGGCTAAGTCAACGTTTTCTCAAAAGTTATCTACTGCAGCTTTAATAGTAACAACTCTGTCTCTAAGATACCATATTTAAAAAAAATTGCCTAGTGGAAAATTAAATGGATTTATAATAGAGACTTGTGATATCTAGTGACCAGAATATCATAAAGACTTGTGGGTGGGCTCTAGCAACCACATAGCCCCACCCACAGCACCTTGATGGTGAGTTTTGCACAGTCAAGCTCCCAAAATATAGCTGTGATGTGTTTAAAATTTTAGTTGAACATTGTTTAAGGCTACTACTGTATCTGAATGCATCGTAGTGAAGGTTTTCTTATTGTTTTGGTAGTATATCGAGTGATTGAGGACCGTCTGTGCCCATAAACTTTAATCACTTTCCTGAAAGACACTGCTGGTACGCCAACGTAGGATGACATCATCTCACCATGTGGAGACTGGACGCTGATGGATTTAGAGGGGGAGACAAAGAGAAATGGATGGAAAGAGAGAGAGGGAGAGTGGGAGGAAGAGAGTGAGGAAAGAAGAGCTTGAACGTTGTGTCTTTAGTCACCCTTCTCCACGCCCACCGGTACTGTGATGAAGCAGGAGGATTGGGGGCGGTGTCATGGCAACCGTGTGGGAAGCTGTCCGTCACACAAGCTTTCAAGTGAGTGTGGTCTTGCTCTCTCTGAGCATCAGAAGCCCAGCAGCAGGCGCGCGCTGCAGGGGGATTGACGGGGCTCAACCCCTCCTCCCTCGAGTATGGACCAGGGTGCCGAGCCCCAGGTCGGGCTCGGGAACTCGTGGGACACCATGGGGCACTGCTGTGATGTGCGTGGCGTGGGTGAGAGTGATGCGTTTGCGACCGCTTCGCAAACATTCCCGCTTATTCCATCCGTGTATTAATTTCATGCTGCATGTCCAGGTTTATTATTGGATTCGAGTGAATTCACCAGAAGTGTTTTCTGGCTGGCTGGTGACCAACTTTTTTCCGGCTTACTTGTCTGAATTTTTATTTGTACCGTCTGTGGCACTTTGGCATTGTCGAAGTTTTCATATTTCTCGCTGACGTGATTCTCTCTGTGTCTTGTTGTTATCTTTTCTCCAGGAAGAAGTGTCCGTTAAAGAGATCAGCATCACGCATCTCGTCAAAGAGGGCTCGGAAAAGGCCGACCCACAGCAGTTTGAGCTCCGTAAGGTGCTTGGACAGGGCTCTTTTGGAAAGGTACGTCATGTCAAATTGGGCTGTTAAGTGTGATTTTTATTTACATTATATGGGTTGGTGGAAATATTTAAACAGGTGGAGCTTCTGTTATAGGGTCTTCAAATGTTTGGAGAGGAGGGACTAGTGTTGTTTTTGCTAACTAAAATTATTATAAATCATCTTCGGTAATTTAAATAAATAAAATATTAGATGAAAAGATGTGAACTTGTTTAATTTAGTTGCCGGGATAGCATTTCTAATTTCCGTTTAAGTACTAAAATTACTGAAATTGTAATAAAAATATATAAAAATGCTAAAGAAATTTAAAAAGTACATACGAAATTACTAAACTTTATAAAAATAAGAATATAAAATAAAAGCTAATTCAGAATATTAATAAATTCAGTATTGCACATAAATAACATTTAATGGTCTAAATTGTAATTTTGTCATTTTCTAAATGTAATTGTTAATTATTTTTTACTTTAAATTTTTCACAAAAACATGAATTAATAATTTTACCTTTTGATATGCATCCATCACGTTCCAAAAAATAGCACAACATTTTTTCAAATGAGATGCAATCGGTAAATTAGTCGTTAGATTTAGTGATAAAACATTTTGGGAAAGTGACTATTTTGTGTACATATTGTTTATGTGATTTAAAATTACTCATACAGTGATTCAAGATTTTGGTCATACCGCCCACCTCTACGAGTATATTTTTAGTATTTGGTGTGTGCGTGTGCATTGTGCTTTGAGAAATAAATCAGCACAGTTTAAAGCCTAGTGGAAAATTGGAACTAGTCACGTTCACCAGAGTTGCGGTGTCACTGTACAGCACAGAACTAATTGTGTTTTAAAAAAAGATCTGATGAGTACAATAGATGCTATTTTAAAGTGTTTTACTATTGTTTTAATGAAGACTTGATTTCGGTTGTGTGTTGCAGGTGTTTTTGGTGAAGAAGACAACAGGCCCAGATGCAGGACAGCTATACGCAATGAAAGTGCTTAAAAAAGCCACACTAAAAGGTATTAAGTCGACCAATGTGGTTTTTCAGTGGCCAATGCTGACATAATGTTGCTATTTCACTGACATAACTTATGATTTTGGAGTTCATTTTGTAAAAAAAAAAATTTAAATATTTTGTAATTTTGGTTTGAGCGTTCGGATTCAAATCTGTCTCTAATGCGTTTCGGAAGGCATTTACACCTGGTCTTTTCACGATCGGATAGGTATCCGATCACAGAAAACGCATGAAGTGGCCAGGTGTAAACGGCCCCTAAGTATCATCCATTAACATTGGTTCATTTTGATATTAACACAAAGGGCATATTCTGTTACACTTCAACGTCTCTCTAAGTAAGTATTCTCTTCTCTCTAAGTAAGTATTATTGAACACATCCAATGCGCTCTGAATAGTTACATATCGACATGGGTCATATATCATCTATTAGTATAACGTATGAGCTGGCAAATTTCACTCTTTGAAACAAAGGCAATAAAACAAGAAGGGAAGGCTTTTAGTTCCAGTTTCTATAATCCTGTTCGGTAAGCATGACTTAATTGTTTTTGCCCTCGACAGGAAGTCTTGCAGCTGTGAAAGCCAAGATATTAAAGGCAGATCAAAAATCTCATTAACTTCCTATAAGTATCTAACAAAACCTCCTAATCCTAAGTATTTACTCTTTTCACAATAACCTGTTTTAAGTTCTGTTAAAGAACATTGTTCTTGCAAAGGTTCAACTAAAAAAAACAGCCACTCCAGATGATAAACACATCTACATCCACATGAGTAAAACGCTCTCCTCCCCTTACAGCTCTCAGCTTTGCTTGTCTCTCTTGCGCTGCATTTTTCTCCCTCCTTTATTTAATTAGTCATCCGGTGCCATCTGCGTAATTCTGCTGTGCCAGATTTCTTGCATTGTTAAAGGGGAGAGAAAATGTAGTTAGTGAACTCAATAGAAGTAAACAAAAGTGTTGTTATTTATGCTTGTTTCAGTTCGAGATCGGGTCAGGACTAAGATGGAGCGGGACATCCTGGTGGAGGTTAATCATCCCTTTATTGTTAAGCTACACTATGGTAAGTGCAGGTCATCAGCCAATCAATGGTAAGCATGAACCCATTCCCTCTTTCTCACACTCTTTCTTGTGTTCTTCATGCAGCATTCCAGACCGAAGGAAAGCTCTATCTGATTCTGGACTTTTTAAGAGGAGGCGATCTCTTTACTCGACTGTCAAAAGAGGTAAATAAATAGTGAATGGTTACCCCAAGCACAGTCTCACATAGCCAAGTCCATTTTCACCACGACTGCCCAATTAAATAGGAAGAGACTGTCTGATTGACATTTAAAGGGATACTCTACCCTTTTTTTTGGAAATTGACTCATTTTACAACTCCCCAGAGTTAAACTGAAAAAGTTTTATCGTTTTTGAATCCATTCAGCCGATCTCCGGTTTTGGCGGTACCACTTTTAGCATAGCTTAGCATACATCATTGAAGTGGACAAGACCATTAGCATTTCTCAAAAAAAAAAGACCAAAGTGTTTCGATATTTTTCCTACTTAAAACTTGACTCTTCTGTAGTTACATCGTGCACTAAGACTGACGGAAAATGTAAAGTTGGAACTATACTCTCATTCCTGGGTGATAATCAAGAAACTGCCGTACCATGAGTGCAGCAGGCGCAATGATATGAATCAGCGTCATTGTAAAATGAGCCTATTTCCAAAAAAAGTGGAGTATCTCTTTAAGCATCTGTTCTCTTTTCCTCAGGTGATGTTTACAGAGGAGGATGTGAAGTTTTATCTGGCTGAACTGGCTTTGGCTCTGGATCATCTGCATGGTTTAGGCATCATCTACAGAGATCTGAAACCAGAGAAGTACTGAAGTTTATTAAATAAACCCAGAATAATTCACCCAAATGGATAAATCATTTTGTTTATGATTTTTTTATGTCAATGTCATTATTTATTATTCAATTCTAAAGGTTTTAAAACACAGAAACCAGACTTCTTAAAAGAGCAAAAAAAAAAAAAGTAAAAAGTAAATTTATGGAAAATTAAATCTTTATTTAATCATTGTTTAGGCTTTTTGTCTGAGGGAAGTATGTAAATAGAATTCTTGTGGGGGAAAAATGTTTTTAAAAAAGGATTCTTTAAGTTGATCCAATCTGACAGTAAATGCATTAATAATGTTACAAAAGATTCTTATTTCAAATAAATGCTATTCTTTTGAACTTTCTATTCATCAAAGAATCCTGGAAAAATGTATCAGGGTTTCCACAAAAGTATTAAGCTGCACAACTATTTGCAAGATTGATGGTAATGAGAAGGTTTTTTTTAAAATCAAAATCAGCATATAAGAATGATTTCCGAAGGATCGTGTGACACTGAATACAATAAAATAGAAAACAGTTATTTATAATTGTAATAATATTACAATTGAAGGTCAATCAAAGACCTTCACTTGTTTTTTTTTAATCCGACCTCATTGCTGTCTTTGAGGTCGTCCATAAATCACTTTTATGTCTGGAGAGAATAAGGCTATAAAAATAATGGTTGTAGTCTTGTAGCCGTGACACAGAGATATGTCCTTAAGGTGCAGGGTGGGAATGGCGATAGAAAGTAAGGGGACCTTTTGTGCGAGTGTGTTCATGCTCTGTTAAATGGCTTTTTAACACTGTGATTCTGTGTAATTTCAGCATTCTCTTGGATGAGGAAGGCCACATAAAGCTGACAGGTAGGTAATTTCAGATTGCTGGAATGGCTGCATCAGCATGGTGCCACCTTGAGCATTTAGGGCTTTGTGTTGATACCATTAAACTGCAGCCTTATGGGAGAACAGACAAACGCATTAACCTTCACTCTGTAGAGGTTTATGACCATCTAAACCACACTATATGACAAGGTGAACTGCAGAGAACTAATATAGGGAAAATTCGATTTTGTGGAATGATTGTTGGACTGAGATTGGAACCAATGCTATTTTAGATTGATTTATATACTAAAACAGCATTTGTAAATATTTATAATTAGCTGTTTTTAATATATTTTTTTTCAGTTAGTTTATGCTTTATTCATTTTGTTGTGCTTTTGTTTTTAATATTTCAATTTAGCTTTAATTTAGTTTTAGTCAGTTGTTAAGAAAACATTTCTATTTTTGTTTTTTTGTTTTTCATATAATATTTATATTTTATTTTATTTTAGCTTTACTACGAAAGTTCAAGTTAACAATCCCAACACTGATGTTGTCGTTCTGAAAGTGTGTTTGTGTGTGTGTGTCTTCAGATTTTGGACTTAGTAAGGAGTCGATCGATCATGAAAATAAAGCATATTCTTTCTGCGGGACGGTAGAGTACATGGCTCCCGAGGTGGTGAACCGAAGAGGACACACTTATAGTGCTGACTGGTGGTCTTACGGTGTACTCATGGTGAGGAATTGCCACTTCCTGTTTTTATTATTATCAATTGATTATCCATTTTATATACCGTTCATTCCCATTTAACCTAATCTCAGTCATTTTATTCATTATTTTATTTTAACTACAATAATGATGAATTAAATCTTGAACTCTTCTTAAACTGGGCCAGAACAATCCAGAATAGTGTTCCTGCACCTTCAACCATCGGTAACTTGTTTTGCTCTCCATCCTCAGTTTGAAATGCTGACTGGAACGCTGCCTTTCCAAGGCAAGGACCGCAAGGAAACCATGACTATGATCCTAAAGTGAGTGTGACGTCCTCATGCTTCCGCCTTCTTGGTGGAACACTATAATCTAAACACAGTCATCCAGTCTGAGTGGGAAAAGCCAGCGGAATTGGTCTGAATAACATCTGGATGCTAAGTGCTGAAGCGATGAGGATAAGCCTTTGGTTTAGCTGACAGTGCTGTTTAGCCTAAAGACTAACCACTTAACCATCGGTAAACATGGAACCGCTCATAACACACGTCACGTCATAAAGCAGCCTGCTGAGGGGTGAATAACGCTCAGACGCGCCACATTAGGACTGCTGTGCTGGATGAATATAATCAGTGGTCTGCGTACAGTTTGATGGCTTTGATAAACTAGTAATGTGGTTATAGTGGAATGACTGCAGACCTTCAGGGTTAAGGCGAGACGAGGGTTTTACAATTACAGTGTTCATTTGAGGCTTCTGCTGTCGACTGATAAGAACAGACAATTGCCACTGATATGAATACACAAAGTGTTAGCTGTGACATCAGTGCATATGACAGTATCTGACTTTGTCCTCCTTTTTGTAAGTTGACCTCTAGGCTTGTGTAGACAGATATTTTACCATAATTTGACTTTATCTCCACAAGGTCTAATAAGCATTGCAGCACATTCTGGTCAAAAAAATTGCCCACTTAGAACTGGCCAACATGTAAATTAAATTAACTGCTTATTTGCCTACCCTTGCATTACTAGTAAAATGCAAAGTAAAAGCTAGCATGTAGAAAAACACATTAAAATGAGAGTATGTCAATCTGATTGGGGGTGATCCACATCCATCAGAATGACCTTTCTTTATGCATCAAATTGTATTGCATTTTTTTATTATTCATTGTACAGCACTTTGGTCAGTTTTGCCCTGTGCGTAAATGTGCTTTATAAATTAAAATTACTTATTTGCTTACTAAATGTGAACTTTCCATGCTTGTGTTGACTCTCTGACCTCTATCTTGACTTTGGACCTCTTTTGTAGGGCGAAGCTGGGAATGCCTCAGTTTCTGAGCTCAGAAGCTCAGAGTCTCCTCAGGAGTCTTTTCAAACGAAACCCTTCCAATAGATTAGGTAAGCTCACTCGTTTACACTACGGTGCAAAAGTTTGGGGTCAGTGATTTTTTTTTATTTTTTTTATTTAGTTATTTTTTAAGAAATGAATACTATTGTTCAGCAATAATGCATTAACTTGATAAATGTGAGAGTAAAATTTCTATTTCAAATAAGTGCTGTTCTTTCTATTCATCAAAGAATCATGAAAATGATGTTTCACGGTTTCCTCAAAAAATGTTAAGCTGCAAACCTGATTTTAACATTAATAATAATAATAATAATAAATGTTTTGTTGAGTGGCAAATCAGCATATTAGAATGATTTCTGAAGGAACATGTGATACTGAAAATTCAGCTTTGCCGTCACAGCAATAAATTACATTTTAAAATATATTAAAATAGAAAACAGTTATTTTAAAGGTTGTATCAGCGATTTCAGGCCCAAACATAAATGATTATAAATTATCAGGCCCGTAAAAAAAAAAAAAAACGTGTCTCTGTAGGCAGCCTCGGCTCTGAGATCTGCACACAAAAACAATTGGGTTCCATCACTCAAAACCAAAATAAATAGTGTTCCAACCAATCACCGACAGGGGGTTGGTGTTGTGAGGTTTTGCGCTCGTGCGTGGCTGCACGCGAAGGTGGATTGGTTGGAACACTATTTATTTTGGGATTTTTTTGTCTATGAACAGTAGTGTATTAGACTGACTAGACTGTTCATTTCTGTATATTGAGTTCTGCATATTTGATTTTAACTTGACTATGCTTGTCTGCAGGTGCTGGTGCAGATGGAGTTGAGGAGATAAAGAGACACCCGTTTTATTCTACCATTGACTGGAATGTAAGTATTTACAGGAACATGCATTTACAATGAAGAAGTGACACTCTTATCAATGTGTGGTAATTTTAAAGGTTTTTTTTATGCTTTGTTTGTCTTTAGAAACTATTTAGAAGAGAGCTTTACCCGCCCTTCAAACCAGCCTCTGGGAGACCAGACGACACATTCTACTTTGACCCAGAATTTACAGCAAAAACTCCCAAAGGTACATCAGCTTATAATCAACTGTGTCTGACCAGAGCCAATCTGGGGGCCTAAGCAAAATTCTGTTAAGGGTCCCTCCTACCTGACCAGTGAGCCATGTAAACCATTTACCATTGTCACACCTGACACCCTTTAAAGTAAAAATTCCTGATATTAGACATAGACATTGTTCCTAGTAAAAAGTAATATCAAGAATTCACATTTTAAAAAATACAAATTTAATTATTGATATCAAAAATGCATCGTGTGAATGAATAAAAGCTAAAATTGCTTGCCATAGCATGTCACTGTTTTAAATGAAAAAAGCAATACTTGATGACTGAGGGATGTGCATCCATATTGTCCAGTATGCCCAGCCAATCAATATTTTAAATTCAATATAGCCTATAAAAACATTGTCAATGTCAATTGACTATTGACTAAGTAAACCTTGACTTGGAGACTAGATAATCTAGATTGTCTTGTTTTAAAAGTATGTGCGCCTACTGTATAATGAGGAGTGCCATCACGCCCATATATATTGTACTGGTCCCCACAAATGTTTCTGCTGGAAAGTGCACATTTCATTTCGTGGACGCGCATATGAACGCATGTTAGCGCACGACGTGTTTTTCCGCGCTGCAGTTTATAAACAGGAGTATGCAAGTCTACCTGATCACTGTTCCCGCAATTCACTCTCATGCTGTTTTTTTTTTTCTTCTCTCTTTTCGTGACCAGAAGGATAATTCCGCTTAATTTTCTCATTATTGATGTAAAATTTGATTGACGCGATTCGACGCGAGGGGGATGTGGGGCCTTGAATAACTTGCTTAGTGTGCATATCGGGCTGCTCGGCTCTGTGTCTGACCCTAGGTCAGGTAGACTGTGTTTGCCGTCCGTCTTTAATCCCCTTTCAGACAAATGCATAACCTATTTAATTAAATGCTTCTTGGCCGATAGAAATTTGTCGGATTATTTGATGGTGTATTTAATGAGTAGATCAAAACCGCTGTGTGTTTTTGTGCAGACTCACCAGGTGTACCCCCTAGTGCCAATGCCAATCAACTCTTCAGAGGTTTTAGTTTTGTGGCCATCAGCTCAGAAGAAGAGTCTCAACCCCTGCAGAACAGTATGAGCTCTATAGTACAGGTATACACTCTAATGTGGAACACATTTTACTCCAAATGAAGCCTCTTTCCTCATAGTATATGCTGTAATGACTGTGTTTAACCCTAAAACTGTATTCTGGACAAATGTGGGCAAAATAGTTTTGATTTCTTTTTAAAAAATACTTCTCTTGATCTGAGCGGTACAAGACTTGGCTACTTTTCCTAAGTTTGCCTCCTTAACACACACAATTTTTTTTTTTTTTTTTTAAGTGGGTGAAAAAAAACCCTCCTTTATCTTGTATTTGGGTTAAAAATGGGCACCCATAGAAATGAATGGGAAAAATGGTAATTTAGAGCATTTTATAAAATGTATTTATAAAATTTATTTTATTTAATAAAATAAGCCAAAATAAGACACCAGGTGACAGTCACTTCATCTTTAGGTTTTAGCTCTAAGAACTTATTGGAATGATATTTTAATGTAGTTAAAAAAAAACATAAAAATTAGCATAATCCTCTGTGCCCACATTTGTCCACAATTACAGGATTAAGGGCTATAAAGTGAATACGGTTTGAGGGTTAAGGTCTAGTTATGAGTCATATTTAATGTCAGCATTACACCTGGTTGTTTTCTCTCTGTAGCAGCTTCACAGAAACGTGTCACAGTTTAATGACGCATACGAAGTGAAGGAGGATATCGGAGTTGGCTCGTATTCTATCTGCAGACGCTGCATACAGAAAAGCACAGGCATGGAGTATGCCGTGAAGGTGAGAAGAGAGTCATATTAAACCAACACACTTTCATTAAGGCAGTAAATCTCAAATAAACCACCCAGGACACATTGGCAAATTGATAGCAACATAAACTGGTACTGGTCAATATTGGGTGTTTAATTGTGCATTTTGATTTCCCATATGCTTACATTTTAGATTAAAAATAAAATACTAATACTAAAACCAGTATAAATGTGAACAGTGAAAAGGGGATATTTCATATTTGGTTTTGAGTAGGGCTGTGCAAAAATTAATTGCGATTAATCGTATCCAAAATAAAAGTCTGTGTTTACATAATATATTTGTGTGTGCTGTATATAATTATTTTGTATATATAAATACCTATGCATGCATGTATATATTTAAGAATTATTTGCGCTTACATTCTGTATATATATATATATATATATATATATATATATACATAATCTATATTATATAAATATAAATATTTTATATATGAATAACACATTTTCTTAAATATATAAATTACATGCATGTGTGTGTATTTATATATACAAAATAATTATATACAGCACACACAAATATATTATGTAAACACGGACTTTTATTTTGGATGAGATTAATCGCAATTAATTTTTGCACAGCCCTAGTTTTGAGATTTGTTAAATATGACAATTTAACAGTGGTATTAAATTAGTAACGTGTTTAAATATAGAATTTTTTTTTTTGTAATATTCATCAACTCAAAACGAATATCCATTTTTTATTCTGTACATTATAATGCAAAAATTCACTTGTTGCAATAAAAAGCGATTCGTTTTACGTTTTATTGTTTTACTTTTTAATTATTTAGACCTTAATAAGACATTTAAACAATTATTTTTAATTATTTAGTCTAGAATTTCAATGTTAATCAATTATTAATATATTAAATAATTATGAGCTTATTGGACAGAATTTTAATTTCAGCCCATCCCTACTAAAACTTTTCCAAGACAATTTTATACTGCCTGGCCCTTTTTTATACTGTGTTTCTTGGAGATCGTAATAAATGTCTCTATATGTTTTATGTTTAGATAATCAATAAAGCTAAACGGGATCCAACGGATGAGGTGGAAATTCTGTTACGCTATGGACAACATCCAAATATAATCACCTTGAAAGACGTGAGTGTTTTAAAACAAGGATGCAGTCTTTTTATTTTCATCTATCAGGCTGGCAGACTCTGAGCTTTTTCTTATTGGCCGAATGCAATTATATTACGATAATGTCTTGTTTTTTTTCGAAGAGCATTGATGTGTTTACCTGAAACCGATTCTGCTCTGACATTTCCGGAATGAGGGAATAGTGTAATGAGTTCCTGCTCTTACCGTCTCTCCTGCAAATTACTCAGAGCAGGTTATCCATTATCGTTTCCAGTATGTTTCCATACATTAGAAATGCATCTGATTCAAGTGTTCCTTGATTGGTTTCAAAGACAAAATTAATTTTGCTGCAAATATAAACGTCCTTAATCATATTATGTATTGCAGAACAAATTGCAATAGCATTTAATGAAAAGTGAAGGTTGGAATAAATCAGAAGTGATTATCCATGATAAACTAATATAACTATGCCGCTGTTTGCAGGTGTACGATGATGGCCGCTCGGTGTATCTGGTGACAGAACTGCTAAAGGGAGGGGAATTGCTGGATAAGATCCTCAGACAGAAGTTCTTCTCAGAACGGGAGGCCAGCGCTGTGTTGTACACCATCACGAAGACTGTGGAGTACCTGCATACTCAAGGGGTATGAAACCACTCAAACTATAGGAAAGAACAAACTGTAAAATGCGTGCCGCAATTCAATATGCTGAAAGTTAAAGCCCAGCTAAAGTACATTAAGATTGTGGACTTGGGAAACAAATGACGCTTTGTGAGACCGTGTCTCTGGTGTCTTACCACATACTGGTTTATAATGGCTAATGCAGAGATACTCAAGAGGGGCACATTCAGACCACAATAGATGCAAAAGTCTGTGATGTACACTACTGTTAGAAAGTTTGGGGTCTGTACGATGTTTTTAAAGCTATCTCTAATGCTTACCATTTATTTGATCAAAAATACAGTAAAACAGTAATATTCTGAAATATTATGATAATTTAATGTACTTTTTATATTATAATATTTTTTTTTAAATATATAATTTATTCCTGTATGAATTTTCAGCATCATTACTCCAGTCTTCAGTGTCACATGATTCTTCAGAAATTATTTTAATATGCTGATTGGCTGCTCAAGAATATGTCTTATTATCAATGTTGAAAACAGTTGTGTGGAAACCAGGATACATTTTTAAGGACTCTTTGATGAATAGGAAGTTCAAATAAACAACCTTTATTTGAAATATAAATTTTAACATTATAAGTGTTTTAGAGTCACTTTTGATCAATTTAATGTGTCCTTGTTAAATAAAAGTATTGATTTCTTAAAAAATAGAAACATAGCACTTCATTATAGGGACAAAATGAGCTGTTTTCCTCATGGGGACTAAAAAATGTCCCCACAAAGATGGCAAAATCTGAAATTCTTGTGGGGACTTTTTTTGGTCCCCATGAGGAAAAAAGTGTATAAATCATTCCAAGTTATCTTTGTTGAAAATGTAAAAATACAGAAAGTTTTCTGTGATGGGTAGGTTTAGGGGTAGGGTTAGTGTAAAGGGAAAAAACAGTTTTTATAGTATAAAAATAATAATAAAATATTTTTGTTATTTTTATTATAAATAAATAAAGCGATAATATTCATTTTTACAAAAGCTATACAAAATGTATTTAATTCAGGGATGTGATTTTTCTGTATTTATTTATTTATTATGTATTATCCATGTGGTGATTACTGTATTACTGAAATTACCTTAAACAATTAGTAAATCAACTCAAAATTATATTAAAATATATTACTTTTCATGCACGGATTGCTTCTGATGGCCATGCTCAAGCTTGTGGCGCCATCTCCCAGACACGCTAAGCATGTTAGCCAGGTCAATGGGCTAAATGCAAGTATAAGCTGACATTAAAACAGTGTTGTTCACCAGTTCCCAATAACTTTTTTTAATGAATTTCGGCAATGCATGATTGTGAGAATGTGATACGGCTTAGTGTGATCATCCAATTGCGACGCTTGTGATGCAATTATAAATATATAAAATAATAATGTATAAATATATGCCTGGTTTCACAGTTCCAGACTAAAATGCATGTTTAAGCTCTTCTAACTGAAAGCAACTTGCACTGATGTATTTAAAAATGACACTGCAATTGTTTCCTCAAGACGCAAACCAGTAATGTTTTTATTTTATAAGGCACGTTTATAAAAGCCGCTTAAATGAACGCAAAGAAATGAAGACAACCATAAATGTTATTATTGTAATTTTAATGTTGTTCTGTAAAATAAAATAACAATAATTATTCTATAATAATTATTATACATTGTATTATGATATACTGTATTATTGTTTTTATTATTATTAAATTTTCATTTTATTTTACAGTGCAATAGTATGTATTGATGCGATAGTAAAGTAGTAAGAACATATTTTTATTAATAGTAAAAGCTGCCGGGAGGTGTCAGGTTTTCCCTCTTTCTTTCTTTTTTTATTTAGCTGATCACATGCCTGTTAATTATAAAATGCACATTTGAGCTCCTTGGTTCTAATTTAAGCTTCCTATTCAGGTGGTTCACAGGGATCTAAAGCCCAGTAACATCCTTTATGTTGATGAATCTGGGAATCCCGAATCCATCAGGATCTGCGACTTCGGCTTTGCCAAGCAGCTGAGAGCGGAAAACGGACTGCTGATGACCCCATGTTATACTGCCAACTTTGTGGCCCCTGAGGTACGTTTTTCAGGTGGCTCAATATTTTATCAAATAAATGTGAGTTTCTTGATCGGAGAACATCACTTTGGTCCCCAGGTGCTGAAGAAACAGGGTTATGACGCTGCCTGTGATATCTGGAGTTTAGGTGTCCTTCTGTACACAATGTTAACTGGGTAAGTATTTCAACTTAGCTCTATAGTTTTCAAAATGTGTTTCTATTCAATTGACACCAAGCTTTTCCTCAGATTTACGCCATTTGCTAATGGCCCCGAGGACACCCCGGAAGAGATTCTGGCTCGAATCGGCAGTGGGAAGTTTTCTCTCACTGGCGGATACTGGAACTCTGTTTCACTCGAGGCAAAGGTGCCCGCCTGAGAAGAGCATCTGAATATACACTTCAAAACAGGACCACCAGACAAAAATAATCATTCATTGTTGTTCTCTACAGGACTTGGTGTCTAAGATGTTGCATGTAGACCCTCATCAGAGACTAACAGCTGCGCAGGTGTTGAGACATCCCTGGATCGTTCACAAAGACCAGCTCCCCAAATACCAGCTGAACAGACACGACGCCCCCCATCTGGTTAAGGTTTGGTCCTGTCTGCACACTGTGTTTTAGAATAAAACCGAAAATATCTAGTGTTCACATAAATAATTTACTCTGCCCCTGAAATGCTTCACAATGTTCCCAAGGTCATGAAAAATGTGTAAATATCGTTGAATTAAACCAAAAAAAAAAAAAATTTTTTTTTTTTGCTCAGCTGTTGAATCAGCTAGAAATTATGTTAATAAAATATACACTATCGGTCAAAAGTTTGAAAACATTATTATTTTTTGTTTTTGTTTTTCTGCATTTATTTGAGGAAAAAAATACAGAAAACAATGTAATATTGTGAAATATTATTACATTTTAAAATAATATGCTTTAAAATATATTTTCATTAGCTACTTCAGTGTCCTGATCCTGATTTATTATCAATGTTGGAAACAGTTGTGCTGCATAATAATTTTTATGACCTGTGATACTTTTTCCAGGATTCTTTTATGAATAGAAAGTATTATTTTAAAAAAATAAAACGAACAGCGTTTATTTAAAATAGAAATATTTTGTAACAATTTACACTACAGTTTAAAAGTTTGGGGTCAGTTGTTGTTAGTTTTTTTTTTTTTTTTTTAAATGAAAAAAAAAAATCCCCTCTCCTTCCAAAAGCAAGCCGCTGAAGAATTCAGCAACGATGTGTTAAATTGATTGATTAAATTGTTACATTTTTTTAATGATAGTAAGGATTTCTATTTTAGAAGAGATTTCTATTTGATATAAATGCTATTCTTCTTTTTTTTTTTAAAAAAAGTATCACAGGTTCCAAAAAAAATATTAAGCAGCACAATGCTTTTCAACATTGATAATAAATGTATCTATAATAAATGTATGATTGATAATATCAAATAAGCATATTAGAATGATTTCTGAAGGATCATGGGACACTGAAGACTGGATGATGCTGAAAATACAGCTTTTCTATATCTAAAAGTATTTTAAAATAGAAAACCATTATTTTATATATTGTAATTATATTTCACAATATTACAGTTTTTTTCTGTATTTTATCAAATAAATGCAGGCTTGATGAGCACAACAGACTTCTTTGAAAAAAACATATTCAACTTTGACTATATATATAAAAACATAAATATCAGTTGTGTTAGGGAATTTATTAAAAGTATTTCATTAAGGTGTAGAAAACTTGTATTCAACTTTGACACTGACAGAACAGTTTAATTAAGCAAGTTGTGTGTAAAATCTTTTCTCCTGTAGGGGGCGATGGCTGCTACATACTCTGCCTTGAATAGGAGTGTTCCTCCCGTGCTGGAGCCCGTGGGCTGTTCTATTCTTGCTCAGCGCAGAGGAGTGAAAAAACTGACCTCCACTGCTTTATGAGCTAATACCTTCCTCCTCCAACCCCCATGACCTCTAGCTTGGTTTCAGCACAGCCTGAACTCGGCTTGCTTGCTGCCCACCTTGAGTCGAGGCCTTTAGAATCAAGTGTAGATTCTGAGGACCCCTAATGGACACTCAAAATCTTCCTTTACTAGTTACTTTGAGGGCCAATAAGAACAGTTCGCCCTGTACAATCATGCCTCTGCTTCCAAACGCAAACCGTTTCTGTGGACTATTTCTGAGGAGCTAATCATGTATGAATATAAGCATACTGTAAAAAAAAAAAAAAAAGCTAAGATGTTAATGAAATCAGGGAGGATGGGGATTTTCAAGGATGACAACAAATTACTGCACCAAACCATGAACACAGTTGCGAAAAGCTCCAGTTGTATGGGGATGTCATTTATAGGAAATGTTCCTGTCAGTTCGAAACTGATTATTAAAATTGTATCTAGTTCTGCTCTACTATTTTACATCAGGAACGCCATATAGCATATTTAAACCCCACCAAACCATAACTGCTATGGTGTATCCCAGCAAACCTTGTACTCCTGTCATCTTTTAACAACAAACTAGGACAAAACCCTCTCAGCAGACCCATACAAGACTGTAAGTCAAGTTGAATGTTTGTATGATGGCTGCTGGCGTTAATGTGAACAAGGTCCAAAGCACAAAAATGCGGTGGAAGCCTACATGTAAACGGCACAGAATGTCAAATAGAGAACTCAGGTGAAACGCAATACATTATACAAAAAAAAAAAAAAAGAATATTAAAATAAGCTGAGACGGAAATGTATATGGCTGTATCGCCTCACCTAAAACCTGCTGACCTGTGTATTTGTTGGTTTGTAGGGATGTACAGAAATGCTCAGAGATATATGTAGTAACTTTTTTAAGTGACTACTTACAGCCTTGACATATTTTTATAAATGTGCATGGGCAAGATGCTATATTAGCTAGTAGCTCTGTGGAAGTGGTCATGTTTATTAGCATGACTGATTATGTTTTTTCCCCCCCTTTTTTTAAAACCACTCGAATTCCTTGCAGGTTTGTGTTTTTTTTTTTTTTTCTGAGCAATTTTAAATATGTTGTACATTTTCTTTTCATCTCAGTTGTTTTTTTCCTGTCCTGGAAGAGAGCTAGAAATGTTGCTGTCCATATAAGCTGCTATCCTGTTCTTTCTTTTGTACATGTAGAAAATAAATTTTGCCATTTTTTAATATATCTGTGAATGTTTTTTTGAAACCACATAAAAGGGTTCGTCACACAATACTTGCAAACGTGGGTGAGCCAAAGTGCAAGCAAAGAAAATGATTTTTTTGTCTTGTGCTGCATGTAAAATATTCAGATTTGGTGAACTCTGACCTCTAATTTCTGAGTCACATATTGACCTTATGCAAAGAATACAAACTTCAAAGTTACATGGCTGGCAGTGTTGATGGAAACAGTATTTTTTAACACTATTTCTAATTTAGAATCTAGAAAAATCTATTAATTAATAATTTTGTGTGCTCGAGTGTGACTAAAATCATTAAATATATAATCAATACCATTCAAATTAACATTAATATAGTAAAATATTACAATTTAAAGTAACTGTTCTCTTCAGAAATCATTCTAATACAAGTATGCTGATTTGGTACTTAAGAAACATTTTTTTATTATTATCAATGTTGATGTGGTGGAAAGTCTCCATCAACTGCAAGATGCTATCCTATCAATAAGGGCCAACATTTCTAAAGAATATACCTTCAGCACCTTTTGGAATCAATGTCACATAGAATTAAGGCAGTTCTGAGGGTGAACACAGAATTAGTATTATGTTCCTAATAATCATTTAGGTGAGTGTATCTCTTCATCTCAATTTCTTAAATGAAAGACAAAACAAGTATTTCATTAAAATACATTTTAATTGTGATTTTAAGAAATCCATCTTGCAAAGTACATGTCAGCTAAGCGTTATTACTAATACCACAGAGACACAATACAGAAATCTGCCTACAATATTTAGCTAACAATGTAACTAATATTTAAACATTTTAATTGGATTAGGCTCTTAGATTTAATCATAATCCTGACTATTAAAATAAAACAAAATAGTTTGCCTCAGGTAAACTAAATGGTTTATACTTAATCTAACTAAATGTATTATACAGTACTAGTTTAAAACTTCGATCTCATTGTGTGCCAGCGCTGTCCTCGCTCTTCTCCTTCTCTTCATGGTTATCTTGAAGTTCATTTTCCAGAACCATTCCAGACTCCACATCCTCCACTGTTGACAGATCCATTGAACTCTCAGCAAGAACTTCCATCTCATCTTCGCTGAGTGGCTCCATTATGGCCCCTTCCTGCCTCACGGTCACAGGCCCGATTCCTTCTTCTGAAATGTTCACATCGATATCGTTCGGTTGGTTCTCGAAGGACTCTTCGGGCTTCGGCTCATGAGTGAGCATGTGTGCCGCGTAGCCTCGCTCCGAGAGATATATTTTGCAGATGTCGCAGTAGAACGGGGTCATCACATTGTGCTTGTCCATGTGTTTGATGTAGCCATTGAGTCTTAGAAAACCCTTGTCGCATGTCTTGCACAAGAGTCTTTCTCCAGCATGAGAGGATTTGAGGTGCTGAATGAGGGAACCTCTGAACTGAAAGGTCTTTTCACAGATGGGGCAGATGCACGTATGTTTGGATGAGTGATGCTTCATGTGAGCAACTAGAGCAACTTTGTAGCCGAAACGTCTGGGACATAAGTGGCAGGTGAACGGCATGGTCGACTCTGCATCCTCGTGTACTTTCTGGTGAGCTTTCAAAAAAGCATGATGGGCAAAGGCTTTTCCACACTGTTGACACCCAAACCTCCCATCGGGATTCTCCCTAGTGTGTATGACTCGATGTCGCAAAAGGACACGCATTTCATTAAACTTCTCCCCACAAATTGAACACACACAACCCATTTCTTTAATTTCAGATTCGGTCTTCTTTTTACAGCGATTAGCACGTTGATGCTTCGCTAGGTTGCGTCTACTACGAAACCTCTGGCCACAAGATGAACAGCTGATACATTTTCTTTTGACATGATCTTCTTTATTCTCAAAGATGGCGGACGAATTACAGTCTTCTGTAACGGCCAGCTCACTCTCCTCATATTTGACACACTCATCCTGCTCTTGTCCAGGTGTCATGTTGGCACTCAGCTCATATTCAAAAGGCTCTTCTTTGACACAAGCAAGGGAAATGGGCTCTGAAATTGTGATTTTGCATGTTTCATCTTCCACACTCTCATCGTCTGCTTCCTGTCAGATAAAACAGAATCCAGTACATGATTACAAAACAGAATTGTTTATATACAGTGTATGTATAGAGAGAGATAATTTTTATATAAAACAAGGATGTTGAATTATATGCAATTACATTTAATGTGTATAGTACATAAAGTGTGTGTGTGCGTGTGTATACATATATACTGTATAAATAAAACTGTATATTAAATAGGACATATATATTTTAATTATATATGTAGTTATAAGAATGGAAATCTAATTGGAAAAAAATTATATTTAAAAAAAAAAAAAGCCATCTTACCCGTATCTCTTTTGCCGTCTCAGATAATCGATGAACAGTATGTACTGTAGGGACAGCATCCACGCTTAGTATCATACATGTGGTGTGACCCAGATTTATTCTGAAGTAGTTCTCCTCGGAGAAATGATCCCCACACACCCGGCATGAAGGGCTCGCGCTTTCCTCGTCAGTTTTACTGTCTTCAATAAACTTTAACCAAAGCTTGCGTCTTTTCGGATCCTCGGGTAACATGTAATGAATAATGGTTTCCGAGCGGTTCGGACAACCACCTACCACACATTTATGTACCATTGTGTTTACGATCTAACTGGATTTGGGCTTTAATATGGAATGTTTAGACTATGTAAACAATCTGATATTTGCATTCAGATTGCTTGCTATCTCTTTATCATAGTAGATAATACTACTTTAATAAGTACAGGTAAAAATGTTCAAAACAAACCTCAATGCGGTTTCTTCAGATGTTACTGACGTTAATGATTACATTGTCGCCCCCTACCGGATAGGAGGACGGTACCTTTTGCCCGCCAAAAACATACAGAAAACTTTTAACATCAGACATCGAGGACTCATATAACAGATCTTTTAGCTTTACAGAACAAATAATAAGTTATCATATATTACAATATCAGATCAGATCATAATAAATTATATTTAATCCACTGCAAGCGATTGTGATGTGAATAAAGTTTTGCGCTGTTGAACCTTGAATGAAGCAACTATTCTGCGCATGCGTCATTCTCAGCTTTTCTCGCTAGCGGCGTTGAACAGCCCACTGTAGCATGTTTGAGAAGTAAAATATTTGACATATGGTTATAATTCTCTGACGTTTCGAAACAGTATACGAGAGTCGTCGACGTGATTGAAAGAATATGCCGAAAAACAAAGGTAAGGTGGTTTCTTAGGACAATTGTAAGAGATGTTAGCCTTGAATTTAGCAAACAAGGTAACGTGAGCTGTCGCGCGAGTTATTCAGTGTAGTAGCTCATTGTCAGTGTTTGATTTTCCATTTTGCTAAAAAACTGTTTTGAAATAATTTTTGTGCCTTTAAGCTCATAAAACGACATAAAATATTCTGTCTGATAATGAGAAATATGCTTTCAGCCGCTGTTACGTTTCTCGGATAGATGTAACGTTAGCGTGATCTTTACCTACTTATAGTGTATTGTTACTTAATTATCTAACTAATTTCTAAGAAGGCTTCTACATGTTTAAGTTTCCCAACAAATAAACACGAAATGACCAATAGATCAAGATCGTCCATGATGAATGTTTGTACTTTGCTCTGTCATTAGGCAACATTTGCAATGTGGTGTTAACGAAAAGACTTTGTTCCATATGTATGATGGCATCTGATGTCATTTTATATTTCTGTATCCAGGTAAAGGAGGAAAAAATCGGCGGCGTGGTAAGAATGAGAATGAATCTGAGAAAAGGGAGCTGGTGTTTAAAGAGGATGGACAAGGTATGTTGTAATACTCTTTCATTTAATAAACATTCTGCCTTTGCTTGAAATCCTTTTAGTTTTATCATTTGTGGTCTTCTAGAATATGCTCAGGTCATCAAGATGTTGGGAAATGGAAGATTGGAGGCCATGTGTTTTGATGGAGTCAAACGGCTTTGTCACATTCGAGGAAAGCTCCGGAAAAAGGTGCACTTACTTTACTTTTCAGGCTAAATGCTGATTCAGCTTTTGCATTACTGTGTGAATGAGCTAAAAAGTTTAGGCAAATCAGTCAGTTTTGTTTGATTAAATGAAATAATTGATGTTACTTATGTTGTGTATGGAAATAAATGGATGCTGGGAAACTTAAGCATAGAAAAAATAATGTTCTGAAATGAGAATGTAGCTGTTTATATTGTTCTTTAACAAGAAATCCAGAGGCACATTTGTCTTGTCATTTATTGTCTCATGCTTTTTGTTTCTTAAATTTAGGTGTGGATTAACACGTCAGACATTATACTCATTGGATTAAGAGACTACCAGGTTTGTTTAAATATTATTTTTTAATTTGATATAAATATACTAAAATAATATAGCTATAGATATAATCATTTATAGTCATTGGAGTAATGGACTATCAAGGGCCATTGCTAAGACTAGTTTTACAAGTTAGTAATTTTTTTTCTTTTAGACTCTTTTAAATTATTTGCATACAAATGTAGATTAGTCTAATTTGAAATCAATCTCCCCCTTGACTATCTTTTAGCTTACCAGGTGTCTTTTTTTCCGCAGTAGTTTAATTTTTGATATTTTTAGGTCAATCTGTTCTTGTCTGTCAGTCTAAATGCAGGTCTATGGTCACCACCCCAAAGAGCATGGACAGAAATTAAACATGATTTAATGACTCGTAAATATAAGTACACATTAATGGCCTAAGACACGAAACGAGTGATTCAGATCACTCGGGTTACTCACTGTGGTTACAAGAGGTAAACACTATTTAAATACTGTTCGTTTTCTCACACAAACCGCTCTTTTCGTGTCTTACGCCATCAATGTGTACTTACTTTTATGAGTCATTAAATCATGTTTAATTAGGACTTCTCTGTGCATGCTCTTTGACGTGGACCCCATAGACCTCCATTATATGACTGACAGACAAAAACGGTTTGACTAAAAATATCAAAATTGAAAATACTGTGGAAACAAAGACACCTACATCTTGGTTGTCCTTGAGGTAAGCTAAAACATACCAAATTAATTTCTAAGTGAACTATCCCTTTAAGACAGCCTTAACATAATGGCTGTGTTTATGCGACAGGCAGGAGTAGGTTTATTAAATATTTCTTAATTTAACAATTCTATATTATAATAATATAACACACACACACACACATATATATATATATATATATAACATTTATTGTAAATATACAACTGTTTAAATAATATATTTTTGTTTGCCAAAGCTTTACTTTTTTTTTTTTAATCAAAATTCTGAAATCTCTCATTCTGACATCAAATTCTGAAATCTCTTATCAGGATAACAAAGCAGATGTAATTTTGAAGTATAATGCTGATGAAGCTCGGAGTCTGAAAGCCTATGGAGAGCTTCCAGAACACGGTAAGTATATTCTGAGAAACGTAACCTCTACTAAACAGTTCTTGATGAAAAGAGGTTTTTGGCTTGCAATATGCTGATCTTTTTGCTGCGGTATATTAAATGTCACGTCCTTAAATTCACCCTTTTGGTGTCTTGTAGCCAAAATCAACGAGACTGATACCTTCGGGCCTGGTGATGATGATGAGATTCAGTTTGATGATATTGGTGATGATGACGAGGACATTGATGATGTAAGTACTGAAGCAGTTTTGTATTCATCTGAAGATTAGGATTAATTAAAAACTTTTTTTTGATGCAAGTAGTCAGTACATCAGTTTTTATCTGTGTTTATCCTGACAATACTATATATCCATTCTGCAGATCTAAGTGGAAGAAGCGGGCAAGTGAATGTTTTTTTCAGCCTGAAGCGACAATATTCTCACACCTCCCATGAAGTTGCCCCTCCATCAATTATGTACATGGAGGCTCACGTTTTGGGTTTCTCTTACTAAACACATGACTGCATTTTCACTCTCAATCCATTTTGTTATCTTTTAATGTATTTATATTGATTTCACATCAAGTGGAATTTAGTTACAAGTACAGAATCTATGGATTCGCAATAAAAAGATAACCAATTTTATGTTTGGTCTTGCAGTCTGTATCCTAATAGACATGTACACACATTCTGTAAAGGTGAGGAAAACTCTTATGAGCAGAGCTAATGCCTCTAAAATGCCTCTTGCCTTTTTTGAACGTTTTTGAAGTCCCTTAAGATTTACTGGTCACAAAATTGATGCGTTGGACAATGCATTTATATAAAAAAAAGCCTGTCTCTGATTTGCATCATTTCAATCCATCCTAGTTTTCTTTTTTTGTATGTTTTTGTCTACTTCAAATGATGATAATACTAATTTTACAGGGCTGCTGAATTTATGAAAGTAACTAATCTTGAAGCTCGATGTATTACTTCAGTTGTTACTTGGTTACGGCTTAATACTAAACTACATTAAACATCAGCAACTGAAATATTTGTAAGATGAAACATTTTTTACTTTCTAGAATGATAGTTCACAAAGCAAGTAACCAGAATGAGCGAGTATTTTTGTATGCAAATAGGCTAATCAATACAAGAATAATGAAAGTTTATTGATTGTATTCTTGCAGACCTGGCCCTTTTGTTTCAGCTTGTTGGTTATGATTTGTTGTTTTATGTGTATTGTTTTGACGAGCTAACAATGGTTGATTTTTGTCCTCTGCTGATTTTGATCAGAAAACCTGTGATTTTGAAATAAAATTCAACAACATTCAGTATCCTAGAAATGTATTTTAAGCTTTTGAAAATATTCACTTTTACCTCCAGTGTTTATAAAATGTACAAAATTACCATATAAGATATTGGCTTTATTGTTGCAGCTATTTTGTTTTATGTGGATATGAAATAGGCAGTATATTTATAGCAAGTGTGTGTCTAGCCACAGGCTTGAATGAAATTAGTCACTGTTTGTTTTCGCCCCGTCACGTGTGTTGCAGTGTGAAAAACGAAGGTAGCCTAATGCACATGCCTATATATTCCATGTATTCTTTATAATGTCATATTTGCCTTGTGGTTTCCCCACACTTAAATTCACACATCTGTGTATGAAATAGGCTGTTGATGATCTGGTTGTGCACATTTTGGATGCATATACAAATGCCTAGATTAGTTGAGCAGTCTTTACAATGTAACTGGTAAATTATAAGACAATGGTCTTATTGTTAGTATTTTAAATGGCATTTTGAATTTGCGTTTTATGTTCTATAAAGTAGGCAATCGGTATTTATTTCTTGGCAGTTTAAATTAAACGTCTCTAGGGGAAATAAATGGGAAATGTCTCCTGTGCGCAGCTGCCGAGGTTTCCATATATAGCGCAATGTAAACTATGACGTAATGCGTTGTCCCTGGGCGCATTGCTTACGCGCGCGTGCGCTCGGTACTCGGCGATTGGTCGAGCGTGTTGTAATTTATTAGAACCTCGCGCTCTTGTGGCTCTGCTTCACTACTTGTGATATCTGGTCGGAGACCGTGATGAGGTTCGGATGAATAAAACCCCTGGTGAACTGTGTTTTCTGTCGCCTTTTGATTTTTTTCTATTAAATAGTGTTAATTGAGTGTGTGGGGTCGGAATGTCATCTGGATATTAATCATCGAATACACCAAAAGATCAACCAGAAATGGCCACAATTTTGGAAAACCTGACAGGTACGTTATGTTATATTGTCATGCTTTAAATTATATGCCTCACCCATATATGACAGTATTGAGGAACGGATTACAGGGAAAGCGAGCATTTTGAGCAGTTGTCATGGAAACTGCTGAGATGAGAGCTGGATGGGGAACCAAAGACTGACCTGTCCAGGTGAAGAGTGGCAAATAAACGTTTTTGCGCACCTTATAACCTTATTTTAGGCTGTATATAATATATATAGAGAGAGAGAGAGCATAGCTGTGTCATAGAGAAAACCAGGGCTAGTTGTCAATGTTTACGCAAGTAAATACTTTGCAGCATTGGTTACATTTCTGTCTACACATACATTGAAGTCTTGGCTGCAAAAATCAATTGAAGATTTCCACTGTTATTACCCAGTGAAACACATTCATCTTTTGTGACAACATGCCCCAATAGAAGGACATGCTGTCACATTACATGGGGTAAATTGGTACCTGCCCTTAGGCAGGTAGGCTTTACAGCTAAATTTAAACTGTAAAGCAATCATGAAACAGCAAAAATATCAAATCATTGTTTTAGCCAACAAATATTTTAATTAATATATTGCATGTGTTTTAAACAGCCCCAAACAACATACAATATCACTGCTGTAGAAAACAAATTTGCGTAATTGCTCTACAGCCCTTGTGACAACCAGCTCAGGTCTCCACTATAAGCTATTTAGATCTATTTGTCTAACAGACAGGTCAGAAGACATGTGTTTGTTGGGTTTATTGATTTTTTTTCAGGCATGTGCTAAAAATCACGTTTCTGTTCCCCTTGAGCATTTTGTCTTGGCATATCTTTGCATATTACACAATTAAAGCCAGACCTCTGTTTTAGTGCTTGTAACTGGGCCATAACCACCATAGATATTGAGGGGGGCTTGAATATTTGGTTACATCCTTGGCTTGGGTCATGATTCCAATTTCCAGAGACTCTATACAATGTGTGTTCACTGTTTATGTGCATTTTTACATATAACGTCTTTTTGCACTCAAAGATGGAGGCTCGAAAAAGGACAGAATTCGACTGGCCAAAGAAAGAAGAGAGGAGAAAGATAGAAGCCAAGGTTAGCTGATCAAACAGTCTTCTAGTCTTCTGTCAAACAGTATGTTCTATTGAGATTCAGATACTAACAAAGAAACATGAAATTATATTCGGAATGGTCTATTACATCTTGCCTGCTTTAGAACTACTTTTAATTCCTAATGGATTTTGTGACAATCTGGAGGATAAATTAAAGGAGGGGGTTATTTCAGGGCAATAGACTACTACTCCATTCATCACTGAATCCAATGGCTCTTGAGCAGCGGAAGACTTCTGTAATGCCACTAAGTGCTTAGCAAAATGAATCAGTATTGTCAGCAAGTTGAGAAAGGCTTGGCCTTTCCCGTATGGGCAATCTATAGACTTATCCGTGTCCACCCCCTCCGTTTCTCTAGCTGTGCGGGAGCGAGCTCTCTGGGAGAAGGAACAGCGTGCACAGCAGCAGTATGAACGCTCAGTGGTGGAGCGAGGGAGGCGACTGGAAGAGCAGCGGCAAAAGGAGATTCAACGTCGTTCGGCCGTGGAAGAGAAAAGGAGGCACCGCATAGAGGAGGAAAAGGTCAGGGGTTACACTCTTTGGGGTATCTGCTCATGAGCAAAGGTTTTTCATACGTCTGCATCTTTTTATTTTTGTTTTGATTTTTAAATATATTGTGCATAAATTCTTTCTGTTTATTTTTCTCTTCAGTTGGTTTAATCTTAAAGGTGGAGTGTGTAATTTTGTAGCTATTAAAACAATATTTAACATAGGCCTACAGTATGTGGGATCAAAGGCAGCAGAAAGGGAATAACATAAGTAATATATTCACTAATGCTCAAAATTGAGAAGTCAGTAAAGAAATGAATACATTTATTCAGTAAGGATGCATTATATTGATCAAAAGTGACAGTTGTGACATTCTATTCATCAAAGAATTCTGAATCAGTTTCCACAAATACATTATGCAGATCAATGTTTTTTAAAATTAATATGAGCACCAAATCAGCATATTAAAATTATTTCTGAGGGTTCGTGTGAGACTGAAGACTGGAAAAATGAAGTCTGGAAAATTCAGCTTAGCCATCACTGGAATAAATTGCATTTTAAAATTGATTAAAATACAAACAGTTATTTTTAAATTGTAATAATATTACACAATTTTACTGATTTTACTGTCTTGGTGAGGATAAGAGATGACTTTCAAAAACATAAAAAAAATGGGGCTAACTGTACCATGCTAACATGCTAAACCTTTATCATAAGACAACAACACACACTCAACCAATGGTGTGAGATTGATGGTGGGACTGCCATTTTGTCTAATGGAAGATCCAGGAAGCATTTGGGAAATCTGTTCAGATCATACAATTATTATCTTTGCAAATCTGCTGGTGGCACAAAAATTACACACATCATCTTTTAGCCTGAGCCAAAATGTCATTTTCTTAGGTTTGTAGCAAGTCATTTGATTCAAGATGTCGTATTTGTGATGGTGACACCATAAAGGTTGACATTTTTACTGTGCTGAGTGGGCTCTGATTAGATTTTATGAAGGGAATAGTTTTTGTTATCTTTGCATGATTGTGTCTTTATTCATGTTGAATTTAACCTCCTAGAGTTCCCACCTTTTGTGACATTGAGCTTTGTCTTAGCGGGAGAGTGAAGTCTTTGTTATATTGATTGAAAACTAGCCAACCTCAGTCAGATGCTGCAATGATTGGTGACTCTCTGGACTGGAGTGCTCAAATGACCTCACTGTTCCCGATAATCCATCCTTAACTGACATATACAAATCAATTTCCCTAGAAAGACGAGGTGTGATATAGTAAGGGTGTGTTTGAAGAAGCTAAAAGGAAACTCAGATGCAAAATACTGTATGGTGTCATTATGATGCCTACTAACAGACTGCAGTTAGGCAGTGCATCATTGTGTGCAGGGTGTGGTGCTGTTTCTGTGTTCTGGCATAGTAGGTCTGCACTATAATATCTAGTTTTACCTCAGATGACTCTGATCTGGGCCAGCGTTTGGATTTAAATTCATTTTGGCTCCTCCGTATCTGCAGTGGTATCAAATCTGTAGCAGTAGCTTGGCCTCTTTATGTCCACACAATATGCAGCATGAGGCGCCACCTAGTTTTGTGTACACTCATTATTCATCATCTTTTGTTGCCGTCTTTTTCATCAGATTAATCAAATTATACAAAATTTGATTTGTTAATGATTGCACTTATTTCATTGCTGATTATGAGGCTCTTTATGATGAAATCAAGTTATTATTAAGTTGTTATGCCTTGTTTTTCTTGTTTGTATGTTTTATAATCTGTTAATTGCATTTGGTTTGGGGTTATTTTGCCATTTGCGAATTCATCCCTCAAAAATTGAAGCCTTTTTGGTCATTATTTACTCACCCTCATGTCTTTTCTGTGGAGCACAAAAGGTGGATCTTTGAAAAAAAAAAACCTGCCTGCACTTTTCCTTATTATAAAAAAGTGAATAGGGACAGGATCTGTAAAGCTACAAAATGTTAAATATTAAATTACAATAAATGTGGTCCATAGTCCATACAATGTGTGCACTATATTTCGAGTCCTCTGAAGTCATACGATAACTTTGTGTGAGGAAAAATGGTGTCTTCTGAGTCAGAAGTTCTGACAAATAGTGTTGTTTTTCATTTATGTATTGGTCATATGACTGAATAATGATTTGAATAATTTCGGTCTTTTCATCACACAAAGCTATATTGTTTGACATCACACAAAGTCATGCAGATTGCTTATATGATACTTTTATGTTGGTCTTTTTTTTCGTTTCTTTTTTTATAAATCTTGACTCAGTCCCACACTCTCAGAAAAAAAGGTACAAAAGCTGTCACTGGGACTGTACCTTTTTAAAAGGTACACTTTTGTACCTAAAGATTGCATATTGGTACCTTATTCGTACATTTTACCACCTAAAATGTACATATTAGCTATTCTAGCACCTAAATGTATATATTAGCACCTAAATGTATATGAAGAGTTCAGATGCAAAAACCTCTAAATGCCATTTGAAATTTTCTTCTTTAATGATGATTTTTATCAAACTTGTATATTTAAGTCCAGTAATTTCACTTAAATAACAATTAATCGGTAATTATCATTGCAATTTAAGTGAAATTACTGAACTTAAATATACAAGTTTGATAAAAATCGTCATTAAAGAAGAAAATTTCAAATGGCATTTAGAGGCTTTTGCATCTGAACTCTTCATATATTAGCTATATTAGCACCTAAAATGTACATATTAGTACCTAAAATGTACACATTAGCACCTAAATGTACATATTAGCACTTAAAATGTACATATTAACACCTAAAATGGACAAAAGTTTACCTTTTGAAAAGGTACAACCCTAGTGACAGCTTTTGTATCTTTTTTCTGTGAGTCCTAGTCTCCATTTACTTTCATTATATAGAATAGAATGGCCTGGATGTTCTGAAAAAAAAAATCATTTTTACGATCACAAAAGAAAGAACAACATGGGGGATTGGGATGACATGATGAGTGTGAGTAAATGATGACAAAATTTTAATTTTGAGTGAACCATCCATTGTATAAAAGAAGTATACTTTAGCATACTTTTAAAAAGAGTAGCTATTACAAAAATCGTATACTTAAGTGCAAACTGAATGTAATGTTTTCAGGCACTTTCTGCTTGTTAATCACAATTAAATGAAAATGTATTGCAGTTTAATACTATATTACATGCAATTAGTTGAACTTTAGTACTTTTTTAACTTGCATAAATCATTATGGTAATAATTACTTTTGATGTATTAGAAATATGGTTAAAGTATACGGCCAAACTAATGTCATTTCTATTGAAACCTGTAGCCTATGTCTTGTATTTAAATAAATTTACATTAAATTAAATTAAATAAAAAGTGTTCTTAATTGTTTTGAGAAAGATATTCAAATATTATTTGCAAGTACAGTACTTGAATTACACCACAAGGGTGTAAAGTGTGTTATATCTTTATAATAAACAATGAGGCTGTCGTTTTTAACGATTTTTATACACAAGTATTTGAATTCCATTTGATCAATCGGAAAGAAGTACTCCACATTATTTCACTGTTTTGATTATATTGACAATGTGTTGGGCTCCCCTCAATCTGGAAGGCTGTTTAATTGTGTAAATTTCAGTGTTTTGGAAAGGGTTATGCCCATTTATGCAAAATCGATCATAATGTGAAATTTAGATAGAGAAACAAGGTCATTCAGTTTAGAAGAAATGCAGAGAGATGGGGTTGATAGAGAGAGAATTTTGGAAAAATACAAATAGGCTTCCTTATTTTCACTGATGCAACCTGTGTCATTGTAATACTCGGTCCGTGTGTGTCAGCTGCTGAGGGGGGAGGGTGTGGGTGGAGTTATGTATGGCAGTTCTCTCCTCCGTCTGGCTATACGCTCTCTTAGACACACAGTCACCTGGGAGGAGAGAGATACAAAGAGAGAGTCGCTGAGTGCAAGGGAGGGTGAGGGAGAGAAAGGCAGAAACAGAAGGCAAGGCCCTCGTCAGTTTGCTCACACACATACAGGAAGGGAGAACAGGGAGAGAGAGAGAGTCGGAGACGGTGATAGACGGTCGGATAGGAGAGGTGGTCGCCATGGAGCAACCAGCCTTATCCCCATCCTCTCGCCGCCGTAGCGACAGCTCGGTCAGAGAGTCTCTTTTCTTCCCTGTTTTGGAACGCAACGAACAGGAGCGACTAGAGGCCCTGATGCGACGTTCCTTAGAGCGGAACCTGCAGGTGGACCAGAGGCCGAAACGTTGGACATGGGGCGGACCTCCCGGAGCCTGCGAGGGTGAGTGTGCATTTGCGAGGGCGTGGAGGGTCCCTTGTGTGAACTCTCTGATGGAGAGATAGGAAAACAGGGTGTGGGAACTGCACTGCAGCCCTTTTGTTTTAAAACCGACTGCGATATTGACTGATACGGGAGCTGGATGGAGATCAGACAGATGCAGCTGTTTTATGAGGGAGCTGCAGTGTCACACAGGCTGATCTCAAGGAGTCGCCCGAGTCGCTGAAAAACACTCTGCCTCAAGGTTAGCGCTGTCAGCGACTGATCAGAGACCCATAGGCGTTATAAATCATCCGTGCAAAAGCTCTGCCTGGGGGCAAGGGGCAATTTGGGCTGTTTGGCTGGAGAACAAACACCATAAACTGTGCTGTCACTGTGCCTGCACGGCGCATATTAGACTGCGCAGCTGAAGGCGTTTTGCTCTGTCACTGCCACGTTCTGACTTTAAACAATGCTCCCCCCCTCCCAATGTTTCAATTACACAAACCTAAAACTCTCCTAAGCAGTAGACCTGAGGCTTGGGTAAATCAAATCAACTCTACGGAAGAAATGCTGCTTTTAAGACAGACAGACACGAAAGCGCCACCCTAAATCTGTGGTGCATTCATAACTACATCAATTATTTACACTGTCCAAGAGCCGAGCTCTAAGCCTGATCCTGAGTCAGATTGATAATATATCTGGATAACATGCATGTAACGCCTTTTTTGCTTTATGAGAATGAGTTTGGTTGCCCTTGGAGAACATTAGGCTCTTTGATAACCTGATATGATTGCATTAGATGCATGCTCTGGGTTATTTCATCTGGCAGTGGTTCATATTACCATCCTGCTTTATTAGCAAAATCACTTTGCAAAAAAATAAATAAATAAATAAAATGCACTGGTGGAAATTATGCAGCTTTCCGTCAGAGGAAAAGTGCTGACTGGGTATATCAGTATTTCACAGGGACACACTGTTATGACTTCTTATAATATTCACTGTGAGCTTGTGAAATACTCTGTCGTGCTCATGCACCTGTGCTTTCTCTGCTTTGCATCACCTGCGCGGCACAGGTGATCCTAAGATCGCCCCTCCCTCACCTGCTTCAGCCTCCTTAGCCAATGACCCCGCTGTTCCTCCTCCTGCCAGCAAATCCAGGAACGGTACTGACTTCATGCTGCTTTATGTGTCATGCCCGTTCACTTCCATGAAGTTTGAGTCACAGTGATTCAGATGTTGTTTTTGTGACGGTTTGCATGTGCATGAGATTTTACATGGGTGTAAGTTATTTGCGATCTAATATCCACACTATTGTTTAAAAGCTTGGGGTCAGTGAGATTATTTGATGTTTTTTAAAGAAGACAACAGTAAAAAAACAGTATTATTGCAAACAATTATTACTATTTAAAATAACTTTTTTTTCTATTTTAAAATATAATTTTTTTCCTTTGATGGCCATTACTCCAGTGTCACATGATCTTTCAGAACTTGAATAGAATGATTTAAAGAACAGCATTTATTAGTCTTTAATGTAATTTTTGATCAATTTCATTCCTGATTTTACTGACACCAAGCTGTTGAACGGAAGTGTATATTGGCCTTGCCCATAGGTGTATTTGATGCTCTGTTTTCTTGTTTATTTCTGTGGTGAGTTTTATTATTGCTGCTTGCTAAGGCAAATATCACTATTCCTATTGTTCTGTATTGTAATGCATTAAATCCGACTTAAAATTGTTGCCTGGCAGATTATAAAGCGGGTGGGAAAAATAGTTTTGACTTTGAGGAATATGAGCATATCTAGGCATGAGAATAACACAGTGTGTCGGCACTTTGAATTCACGCCAGTAAGAAACCACTCAAAACACCCTAGAGCCGTATGCTGAAAACTACTCAAACCCCTCAACTTCCACATAGCAATATGCTAAAAATCAACCAAATAGCAATATTCTACTTATATTACCATATAAACATTTGGATTTTATACTATTTTATATTATATACTGCATATAGTATTTATATCATCCTAAAGCCAAATTAAATGAAATAAATATCTGGAAAATATTCATGTAATGTTAAAAAAAAAAGCTCTCACTAGCTGGCCTCCGTTACACTAGTAGCCACATTAGAGGACCCTGATGTTGACTTCATAAAATGTAAAAGTCTACTTGTAACCATTATAATATTCTTTGTGGTAAATGTGCATTTGTACACTATATTTATGCTGCAGCGCCCTGGAAACACCCTCTCATCAGGTTTTGCATGGTCAGGCACCTCTTTTCTATTTTGTGTTTGTATTTTTGAGTATTTTTTTTTTTTTACTGTCTGTTTTTTACAGGTAAATGTAATATTAATGAGGAAATTAAAATGTTTGGAATTAGAACCAATCATAGGTCCCATGGAGATTACATGCATCAGCTATGGAGACCGTTATATCCTTCCCCGCCCAGTAAGGGGTCCGGATGCACAGGAGAGGATGTGTAGTCTGGATCCGCCTTGAGCTGCATCACACCCCCTAAAGAATACGTAGGGGGTCTAATCTGTTGGCTCATTTTAAATGCAGCATCCGAGTTTAGCAAACATCTTAGTCTAATCTGTCCAGAAATCTACCTCATATGAATATGAGCCTGCTGCTCTCCATGAAAGGCTTTGATCAGTGTAAATATTCATACCCAAATGGCCACTAATTATTAATCAGAAAGAAAGCCTCTGGCGTTTATCTTCAAAATGAACTGTGTTTGAATATCATTATCATTGTGTCTGATTGCTTATGCCTGTTTTCTTTCTCCCTGGAACTATCCCTGATATGTTCCACTGCAGTTCAAGATTTTATTATTCCGCCCGAGTCCCCAGACTCTCTCCTGAGCAGACATCTCTCGTCCTCATCCACTACTTTGCCCAATATGACAGAGAAAGGCAAGTTTTTTTGCATTAAGCTTCACTATTTAATTGTTTTCGATTTCTGCCCTGCCCCTATTTGATCCTTTGTCTTCCTATGACCTCTTGCCCCTCAGTGTCTTGTCTTTGTTCCCGAATAGCCTCCTCCAGCCCTCACAGGTCTCCTTACAGGGCTTCACCCAGTAGAGCTGAGCGGAAGAAGGGTAGCGCATCATTTTGTGGACCATTGAATGACTCCAGAGGGGCACCCACAACCCCGAAAACCCCTCAGGTCCGATCTGCATGGATGTGAACTACATTTTGTCAGATTGCTCAGAAATGTATATTTGGTGCGCAGCACAGTGGGACACAGCCCACAGAGGAGCTGGTCTCCTAGCAACTACACTACTCAGATCTGTGCATGTCCAGGTCCGGTCGTGGATTTATAGCCATAGATTTTTCAACTAGGGGTCTGTGAATGCCAGCAAGGGGTATGTTGTTAGATATATGAAAGATAAAATAAATACAAATTCCTTAAGGTTCTTAACCCAATCTGATTTCTATTACATCATTCTCTACAGGCACAGCTGATAGGTTCCCACTGTATTAGGAGCCAATGAGCTTTGCTGATCAACATTCAGATTCTTGCCTATATAGTGGTACAGGTATGACGTCACTTTTTTAGGTCAACCGGCAGTTAGCATCACACTGGTTTCCTCAAAAAACACCCAATCGGATTTTCCCAAAGACTTTTGGATTATCGGTACAAACAAGCTCTGTCAACAAAAGAGACTTGATGAGACTTACACGTTTTGTCCATCAAAATAATTATTATAGATGATCACAACTTTAATGAATTTTGAAGCCTAAATGCAGTTGCCAGATGTAAAAAGCTAAAGGTAGGCTATAAACGAACTACACCAGGTCAGTCATTTAACCAAAAACCTATTAAAAAAACCCACTGACTTAGGGACGATGAAACCAGAAGTGCTAAAATGCTAACTCGCTTCTGCGTTTTGGCGTATAAAAGTGATGTCATACCTGCACCACTCTATTGCTTTCTGTAGCAGTTTTCAGCGTGCATTCAGAAACCCCTTTACCTTCCCCAACATATACAAATGCATTTTAATTTAACCATGAATAATAGTATAGTTATAAATGAAATTTAACCTAGTTAAATAAATACTACAAATTGTTGTTGATTATCAGTGCAGGATACCAAATATTATGAAATTGAAATCTACACTTTTTTTTATATTAAGGAGTTTCTGGGTTGGCTGAGAGACTAAACTTGTCTTTGTGGCTTTGTTAGAACAGTAAATTGGTCAAATATATCATTCTGGTGTCTGTTTTGGGTGTTTAGACTGAGAAAACAGAAAAGAGCATTGCCCAAACCTTAGCCGACTCATCTATGAAAAAACTTGAGTCTCCAACAACACCCACCCGAAGTTCTTCTACCCAAAAGAACCCCAGTACACCGAAAAGGTTTGCTTTGTTGTATCAAATCATTTACTTGTCATTGTTTTTACTGTGTAGACAGAGTGTATATATTTTGCCTTTACATTTGTAATTCAGATCAAGGTCCTGTAAAAGCCGCATCCAGTCCCCGGCCTCCCCGGGTCAGTACCCCCCTTCCCCGATGAGGCACCGAGCCACCACACCAAGTTTAGAGAGCAAGAGGTGGGAAGGAGAAGAGAAAGGGACCTTAGAGAGTAAAGGCTTCAGCACTCTAGAGAGAAAGACTTCCAAAGCAGAGAGAATCCCAAAATCTACAAGCAAGGAATTTGGACACAATGCAGGTAATATCTTTTTCATGGATTCCAAGAAAACATTTATATTTTATTTTGGCCAAAACAACACACACTCTGTCATCATTTACTCACCCACATCTAGTTACAAATCCACATGTCTTTCTTCTGCTTTAAAAAGCTGTTTTAATGGGATCTCAATCACGTGAGGTGGACTAAGTGCCTCCTGTCTTGTGTTTCAGAGTCTCCAGTGACTCCCACTGGGAAAGCAGGAACCACTGATGCAGAGGAGGCCTCCAGGCTGCTGGCAGAGAGACGACGCCTGGCCAGAGTACAGAAGGAGCAGGATGAAAAGCTACGACTGGAAGAGGAGAGGTAGAGATTTTGTGTGTCTCTAGGGTCTGTGTGTCGTATTGATGTGTTTGCTGCTGTATTATATATTATCTTCTCTATGAATCTCAGGCTCAGGGCTGAGGAGCTGCAGAGGCAGCAGGAAGAGGAGAGACAGCGGCAGGTCCAGGCAGCTCAACAGGCGGAGGAGAAAAGACAGAGACAGGAGGTGGAGCGCTGTCAGAGAGACCAGGAAGACAGACACCAAAAGGAACAACGTTGGAAGGATCTTCAGAATGAGCTGGAGAAACAGGTCAGAGGGATTATAATATATTCATTTAAAAAACTTAAATAAAAAAAAATCACTATTTGTTTGTTTCAAACAGTGGGGTCCAAAGGTCTGAGACCGCTCATGAAAATTGATTAGAGACATTTTTTATGTAATATTTTTTAAATATTTTTTTAGAATATATTGAATAAAATAAATACATGTAATAGATTTTTTAGTTTTCATTTAATACATTATTTTAAATTAAATATATAGATATTATTATATTATATTATAATATATTTAGATATTTAAAATGTATTGGAAATTAAAAGAATCTATTATATTTTCTGCACTGGTGTCAGACTTTTGAACCTCACTGTTTGAACAAACAAAAAAGTATATTATAATATAAGAAATTGAATAGTTTTTTTTATTTCATGCAAAATGTACACAGAAATAAAACTGACTCATCAAGACAGATTTAGCATATTCACCCATCCACTCACTTACTCAGACACGTGCAGCACCAATCTGTCTTCTCTAGCTGTGGATATCTGTAGGGATGAATGTGATATAGTTGGAAATGTGATGATGTGTCTGCCAGAGGGAGGAAGCTGTGCAGCGCGTTCATAGGGAGGCCGAACGGAAGAGGCAGGAGCGAGAGCTTCTGAAAATTCAGGAGGAGCAGGAAAGACTGCAAAGGAAGAAGGTTCTTCTCTTTTCTATTTGTTTACATTAAGAATCAAGAAATCAATGGAAAATGTAATAACACTATTACAATGATAATGCAATGTGAATTACATTATGAGAAGAAAAGTTTAGTGGTAAGTAATTATGAAGTGGTAATCTCCAGGGGCTACTTTTCTACGCAAAAAAAATTATTTCTTAATTAAAGCTTAATTCAAACTTTAGAGAGTGTGCAACAGAGCAGTTGAATCAAGGTCTGCATGTGTAGTCGAAATTAAAGTGTTACCCATTGGAGTTTCGTAATCTGACATATACGTATCTGTCAAAAGGCATATTGAAAGTGTATGGAAAATAGTCACTTTTGATTTCATGTTGACTAGCTCATACTGGATAGTGCTATAACCTTCCACTACGTATTTTGGGTCAATGACAATAATTCACATAACATTTTTATTTATTTATTTATGTTTAGTAATATTTCACATTAAGTTATTTTTGATTTACTATATGACAAATCAATTCAGTTTGCATCTGTGATTTTGACAGCGTATTGAGGAGATTATGAAAAGGACAAGAAAACCAGATGGAGAAAAGGTAAATTAATGATCTGCAGGCCAATTACGTTATCAGATGACACCGATTTACTGACTGTAGCAAATAAAACTGCATGTCATGTTATGGACAGAAAGAAGAGGCGCAGATGGAAGTCCCATCCCCCATTTCTGTTTCCCAGTGCATCTCATCATCTCCCTTGGAAACTGGAGGTATTGACTCATGATATGACCCGTATCACTATACAGATTTACAGTGGGCACGTAGCAACACTTAACTTTCCTTTCCACTGTGTAAAAGCATCAGACCTTGTAATTCACTACTACATACACACTCATTAATCTGTTTCTTGTTGCTGAGTGACTCAGCATGTGGAAAATCTATAATGTTTATTGAAAAAAATGAAAGAGTGCCATCAAGTGGTGTGATTAAGAACTGAAATTAGTGTTTAGCCTCTTCCACAAAAATATAATGTTGATAATCTGGTAAAATAACACATTTATTACTAATTAATTTTTATTGTAGATTAAACTACTTTAATCTTGCACAGCAGGTAATACAGTGATTAACAATCCACCAAAGGCAACGTCTGAATCTCCAATCATATGCCTTCAGCCACTGGAGGCAAAGTGCAGCGGGGTGGATGATCTCTCTGATGGGGTCCAGTCCATGGATGTCAGGTTAGCCTTCAACAAAGTGTTATTACAGAGAAAATAGGTCAGATTATAGCTAGCTTATCATATTTATAAAATATTGGCAGTCCCTGTAACGAACCATAATACGTTTCCTTGCAGCCCTGTGTCCAGAGATTCCCCCGTCAGCGAGATCTCACAGAACAGCATGAGTTCTGTGGCTTTGGGCGACATCCTTGTTCTGACCGGGCAGGTCTCGCATCCCAAAATGTCTGCTGCTCCAGCTTTTGGTGACTGCAACAAGAACCTGATCCAGGATTGCAGTAGCGCTGCTATTGACTCATCACTTTTCCAGAGTCTTAGACCGACCTCAGACAAGCTCAACATCTAATATAAAGGTGATTGCTGAAAACTACAGATAGAACAGACAATAGCATGATATTAGCATGATTTCCTAATTGATTGGTTCCATTAAAGATTGACAAAAAAATGTATGTTTAAATATGCAAATGATGAATTATCTAATTAAACATGCGCTAATTTGTATACATTTCTAGAACATAAATCTGAACAATGTGTAAAGCTAGGTTTAATTTCTTGTTTCATTTTGTTGACATATTTGACAGTTTGGATATTTTTTATAAATCAAATCAGTAAATTTTATAAATCAGAAAATACGGTCAACAGCCTGAAATGAATTTCACCATTTTTTTTAGAAAATAGATTGTTGTATAAAATTAGGCAAATATTTTATGAATAAACCCTCTGTAAAAAAAAAAACAAAAAAACTTTCAGAATAAAGATAGGAGTAAAACTGTAAAGTTTGACGTATATATGCTAAAAATTAATAGAAAACGGCTTTTAACGATACAGATATGTATTATAAGTGAAATCTACAAATAGATAAAGTGTAATAAAATAAACACTTAAAATGTGTATTTTGGATGATTTTATGCACTAGTCTAAAACAACTTGTTATGATAAGCCAAATAGCCCAAAATCACAAAATTGACCAATGCAGTAAATACCAATATGTTTGCCTGTAGTGTCTTAAAGAAATAGTTCACCCAAAAATGGAAGTTCTACCATCATTTACTCATCTCATATCATTCCAAACCTGTATGACTATTTTCCTTCAGTGGAACACAAAATAATACGTCCATGAGATCAGTGGCGATGTTATTAAATTCATTCATTTGATTCATTAACAAGATTCTCTTTCAATTGACCATTTTCATTCTTTAAAGGGACATTATATAGGAATTTCTCCCATCTAGCAGTAAAATTGGGAATTGTGCTCTCCAGCGCCTCGCTTTTTCAAATGCTTGTTGCATCTATGGTAGCCGTTATGTACCAAAAAGCTATGACAGGATGTCTTCTAATAGCACTTTGTCGAGTTTTCCTTTGGTCACGTTTCCATTTTGGACTTTTTTTGGCGACTAGGATTTCTTCTCCTGTGGCTTGGCATATGTATTACAATTAAAAATAACAGTCCAATGCAGCCTTTTAAACTAGCCGGGGCACGGAAACACGGTGTGGAAACGTGTTGGCCTAGTGCTTTTTGTACCTCTCTGCTATTATATTTTTTCAACATGGCGGAACTACACGTAAGCCTCCGTGGACCTACCCGTCCCATGTATTTTAATGATAATAAACTCTTACTTTTACGAGGATAAGTATATTTGGCAGAGTTATTTCTGCACCATTGAGGACATATTTATAGATAAAAATATTGATTTTAGATAATAAAATACCTAAAATTGTCAAATAATGATCAAATGAGAAACAGATTATTCATTGTTGTGTAAACTATCCTTGAAACCATCTCATATTGTTGTCTTTTCTGTTTTAGACACTATTGAAGCACGGGGCTGGACTGAACTGATGTACTGAACTGATGTGTGGAGCTGAAAAATGAGACCAGTCCTTTGTGCCTCGGCATCTTCATGAGAGCCTGAATATCCTCTTGAACAGGAGAATAAGGACGGAACGTCAAACCAAGAAAAGACACAATGACGGTTGATTCCCCACACATAAAATAAAGTTTTGCCTGCTCCTCGTAGATATTATATTTCACACCATTTCACCGTAGTGTCACCAGACAAAGCAACTGTATTAGCGCAGTCCTAGTGGTCGTCTTAGTCCTGTTATACACCTGTAGCATTGATGAGTGATACACCGTGACAATTGTAGCAGCTCCATTGTGTAATTTGTTTAATTTTGGGTTGCATAAATGACCGGCAAACCGAGCAGTCATGTGCTGAGTCTGATAATTGTGCTGTATTAAATGGCTGGGGTTTGCAAGCAGTATATTGTGTAAATCCATGACTTCTCTGCAATCCAAGCTTTGTAGTCTGAAAGTGGATCTGAATAGATGTAAAGTGTGAAATTATTCTATCATAACACTGTTATACTGGCATTAATGTATTATTAGTCAGCAGTTAGAAGTTATGGGGATGTATACAGAAAAAAAGTGTACTTCTAATGTCATTTATTGTGTAAAAGCTTAAAAAGGGAATTAAAAGTGCACAATTCCATTGTGTTGAATAGCATAGTGCTTTTAATTCTTCATGGACTTTTTCTGTATTGTTTTATTATATGACATCATTGCACACAGCTCTATTCAGATCAAGAAAACCAAGTAACCACAAAACAGCAACACAAATCAACGTAATTCAGCATCCCACAACTGTACAGAAGTGGCTAAAAAGATCTGAACTTGCTGAATATGTTTTAACACTGTTTACCATCTTGTATTCTCAGGGTGCTAGTGAGCTTTGCATGTGAGCTCATTATTGATGTTTGGTAGTCATCTCAATGGTGATGCTGTTGTGTAAAACTTCTGAGGCACTGGATTGCTTCAGGACCAATAAGGAGACAATTTCTTGAAGGATGTAAGTTTCTATCTATCTATCTATCTATCTATCTATCTATCTATCTATCTATCTATCTATCTATCTATCTATCTATCATTACAAGACTTGGGATTTGGATTGATCACATTTTCGATTATACAGAGAGTGATGGGTTACTACTGAAATTCAGCACTTCATAATGAAATTTTAGAAAAGGTGCATGAATCCGCTGCTTTGAAGTTGCCGAACCCTGAGATACTGACATAATAAAACATTTATCACACCATGAGCTTTCCTTGTTCACAATTTATATAGTTTTGCTGGTTTAAAGTGTCTATGTGTTTGCATTATTCCTGCGTACAGTAGAACAGACATGGCTTGTTGTCTCGCATGTTATGTCAGAATATTTGGGAATATATCAAGAAATTTGGCACACACACACAAAAAGATATTTCCAAATTGCTCAGGAAAAATGTACACAGTTCATTAAACACTTTTACCACTAGTGTTGTCACAGGTGATAATATAATTAACATATTGTATAAAACAATGGTTTGGTATTTTTGTACATTACCTTTTACATTGTTTCATGAATAATTTTGTTGAATCCTGTTTATATTTATACAAAAATATGATAATATTAAATATACTATGAAACAAATATTTGATTTGGAGGACAATATTTCTATAAATATATTTAGAAATATGCATGCGTATAATGTATATACAGTTTTTCATTTAAGGGATAAAATGAAAATACTATTATTTACTCATGCACCCTCAAGTTGTTCCAAACCTGAGTTTCTTTTTTTAAAGAAGATATTTTGAAGAATGTTGGTAGAGGTAGATAGTTGATAGTAGCAAAGCCCTACTACGGAAAGCCTGGCCACTACCTATTAAAGCGTAAACCCTAAGAATTTCGGATCTTCGGAACACAAATTAAGATGTTTTTAATGAAATCTGAGAGGTTTTCATAAGAAACCTTCTGGAAATCAAACTCGCATATTAAGGGATAGTAACTCAAAAAGTAATAATTTTCTCACCCTCACATCATTACAAACATTGAACACAAAAGAAGATATATATCTATATATACTTGTGTGTGTATATATATATATATATATATATATATATATATATATATTAGGGCTGTGCAAATGAGTGTGTTTTTAAAAATTGAATAGTAGTTCATACATTTTAAATTGCTTTGACCCATTCCCTAATAATGCTTTGATAGAAAAAAACTTCTATTTCTCTTAATGCTTGGAATAATTTAAATGTTTCTCTCTCATAAGCCTCACATTTTAATAATACATGTTCTACTGTTTCCATATTTTCGGATCTACATTTGTCACAATACCCAGTCTGGTGCTTCCCAGTCCTGGCCATACTTTGATTTAGTAGACAATGGCCAATAACGCATTCTTGAAATGATAACATTCCTTCTATTACCAAAATTTCTTCTTTCTAAACCAACTGTTCCTTGAATTTTGTTTAAATGCCGACCCATATTTCCACTGTTGCTTTCCTTTAGAATTTCTTCCTAATTTGCTAATACTTTTATCTCGCAATTTTAATATCACCTTCTTGAAATTTTATGGCCTGTTTGGCTAAACTATCCACCTCTTTATTTCCTGCCACCCCCATATGAGCTGGTATCCAAAATAAATTAATAACGATTATTGTATATAATTGATTCTCAATTGTCTGATTCTAAAACAAAGTAAAAAGGAATTGCTGAAAAACCACACAGGTGGCAATATTAACATCTTTAATTATTTTTCTTGCCTCCTCATTAATAAACCATACACAACGTGTTAGATTTTTATAGTTAAATTCCCGACAGACCAACTTCGACATAAACATAAAACAGGAACGAGACGCTTTTTCGCACATGCGCAGTACAGATCGTGTTTACGGTACGGCAGCGACCATAGATCTCTATATAAAGTAGCGACACCTAGCGATACTGCTGGCAAAAATGAAACAAGATTCTCTTCCGGGTCAATCTTCTGTGTGGATAGCAGGGTCAAATAGTCGTGTGATAAAATACTACCAGAGCCCGTCTGGTACTACGTACATCAACAATCCACCCATTTTTGATTCATCGAACTGATTCTGAAAGCTTCTCAGTCTGTGATGTAATTCACTGTATGACAGTTTGTTCTTTTTTTCCCACGAGAAACTGGTATTTTGGTGGACGCATCGTCTAGCAGTGTGTGGGAGCCATTTCGCGCGGGGTATGTGAGGCTAATAACGTTACTGATTACTGTAACATTATTCACATTTTATTCTATATATCACGTTTATATTTCAATATTCATATCTTTCGCCTTTCTTTAAAATGTTGCATTCATTATTCATACTCTAGCATCAGCATTTATCGCATGTCATTTTGTTGTGCAGGCCTTCTAAATAGCCCGTGTCGAGGACCTTTAATTATTAATCTAGTGTAAAGCATTAACGTTACTGTTTAATTTTAAGTGCGTTTGAAAACTCAATTCATTAAAATGGCTATTAAGTTTTGGAGTATTGATATTACTCATGTCTTCCGTGGACTTTGTTTGACCCTTTAAAAATAAATGTCAGCATGGTTTTACTGTAGTAACGTTGCTGTGGTATCATTGTGTAAAATCAAATAACTTTATGTATTTAGTTTTCTAATTTTAACAAAACAAGGTTAGCATGAAGGAAAAACGGCTACATGAAACTTTTTGTTTCGATTGTTTTTTTTTTTTTTTGGTTTTTTTCTATTTTTTTTTTTTTTTTTTTAACTTGAATTTTCCTTGAGTTCCAGGTCAAAATTTGCTATTATTATTAAACTTGATAAAACATTATTCATTTCAAGAATTGGTACATGGCATACAAATGGAGAACAGACCCATAAATATATAATAATAATAATAATAAACAACTAGAGAAGTAAATGTGTTGGGAAAGCCTTAGGTTAATATTTCTATTTTCAACAGCACTTCAGACCAGTATATCGTTTACATTTATGATCACATAAAGTGCATATATCTGTTTTAAATATTTAATTATTTAATAAGCATTTAATTTTGTGCTACAGTATTTTGTTGTAAATGTTGTTGAAACATACTAAATATCTGTTGGGAAAGGGAGGAAGAGTTCTGTGAAAACTTTTGATTGTAATGTGTTACGGCAGCTATTTTTATTTTTTTTTATAACAAAGGCCAATACTTTTGCTGTAACCATTATAACCACAAGTAAAACTATGGTTACTATGCAAAAACGATGATAAATCTTCATAATGGACACCTCGGTTGCATAAATCTGGTCTCATGGCTAACAGTTTCTTGTTTTTTAAGGCGACAATGTCACGTCCGCGTTCGAGATCCCCTATATATTCAAGGTATTTAATCTAAAGTAGATGTTTTGAGTCAGTGTTACACTTTTTTAAAAAAAATGTTTGCATTGCTGAGTATTAACAGCTTCTTGAACCTCTCGAATACCAACAGAATTCCAACCCTTCATGGGAGGAGAGCGGAAGGATTATTTGGTGACCCGATGCATTCATCGGTACAATCTGATGCATGGAGAAACCCTGAATATGTCAACAAGGTAGAAAGTAACATGCACTGGAACAAAGATTCCTTTCAAGGAGAACAACATGTCGACCACTGGGCCAAATTTATTGATGCGATAGAGCATGCTCAAAAAAGAGGGCCTTCACCTATGACCAGATACCACATGCAGGGTGATGAAGAAAGACAAGCCCATTCTCCAAGGAGGCTGCCCAGGGAGAGGTTACCTTCCCCTGATAACACACGTTTTGGTGTGGAAGAGAAATACAGGATGCCGTCGCCAGGCTGGAACAGGAATCAAGGCGTTGAAAAGGAGCTCAGTTCACAGCACAATCACAGAGAATCGAGGGACAGATCTTATCCAAGATATCAAGAAGGAAGAAGACACATGGACTATGGACATCACAATGAAGAACATGGCGATCAGTATCATGAAAGAGGCTCCTTCCCAGAGAGGTACAAGAATACAATTCTTTCCCCGCTTCATACGTCTGACATGGACAGAGAGGAACGAAGAACAGAAGAAAGGATTCAATCACTATTCATCTCATTCAGTGATGGATAAAATTGTTTCTAATTTCATCTGTTACACTATATGCCTTTAATTTTACATTTATTACATTTAATCTTTGTTACTTTTTATTTCGTTCATTCAGATTAGTTTCAGTTAAATGCCATTCTTGTCAATTCGAATATATAGATTCAGTTAATTGTGTTGTTCACTAAAACGTTGCTAGTAATTAGGTGTTTCTGATTTCGTTCTAATCTTGGACAAATGTTACTTGCTTTTTTAATACAGGTCATCAAAGTCAGATTATAGGGAGCACCACCCTTCTTCTAAAGGATTTTCAGATTTGGGTCTCCAGAATGAGTTCGTTGAGCCTCACAGGGGTTTCAGCCCACGTCGTGCACCTGTCATTGTGGAACATGATCATGGAATCACGAAACAAGAATCGAGGATCCGCGATACCCCGAAAACAAGTGGCTATCCGAGAAGCAAAGCTCCACCTAGGCCAACTGAAACCCAGAGGAACCGGGAACCTCATCGAGATAGAAGAGACCAAGGTCATCAGCCACGTTCCGTACAAGATAGACACGCCGGACGACCAAATATTAACCCCCGAGAGGAGTCGAGGAAGAACTCTTCTTATGCAGGGGAAAGTCAAGGGAGAGAGCGACCAAAACACATGGATCAATCTAGAATGCAGTCACATTCAAGAGACTCAGAAGGACAGAGGGAAATGAATTTGAGGCAAGTAAGTGATATTGATTTGAGGAATAGAGACAGAGGCTCTGTCCATGACTGGGAGGAAGACAGACCACAACGGAATCATGGGAGGATAATGGGACAAGAGGAGGTTCGCCAAAGAGCTCCGTATCAAAGGAATCGAAATGCTAATGTTGGTCCTGCGCCTAGAATGGATTTCAGTGAACAGGAGACCCTCAAGATCAAAGTGGACATGAGTCGCCCCGTTGGGCAAACCAGGTATAGTATCATTGTAATACCACATATGGTTAGAGTCTAAAGTTCATGCCTCTTTTCCTGTACACTGTTCCCAAACCATGAAGACCTGAAGCACAACCATCTACAGCTTGCAAACAACAAGAAGATTCAATGAAAGTGTGTGGTTGAATCCAGAAAACCCACTGATGAGCCATTGTGTCTATCATCATGTACATGGGGATTGAAGATCATACCAAGATGTGGTTATTTCAGGATGGCGAATTATCCATTGCTAAAGTC